AAATAAATCTCAAATTCCTCATTTTAGGGAAATAAAGAGAGGAAGGAGGGGCTGTGCTGGCAGCTCAGGGGTTAAATGTGGAGCTACCCATTCCCAGCAACATTCCCAGGATTTCTGACCTTCAGGAGACCACCCCTGTCTTGATCTGGTTGTCCTTGTGATGCAGAATTCAGGGAAAAATTCCAGGTAATGGAGCAGCAAGAGAATAAATTGAATTTTCTTCCCTTGTTGTCTGTTTCAAGTGAAGATTCCAGGGCCTGAAAAACAAAAAAAAATGGGAATAAATTTGTGGTACAACAAGGAGTAGTGGTTTTCAATTAAAGGAAGGTTAATTTAGATTAATTAGAGGTGGTTTAGAATGAGGGTGTGAGGGTCTGCTGGCCCCAAGGGAAAAGGGAAAATGGAAAAGAGAAAGGAAAGGGTCCAAGGATTCCTCAGGTTGGGAAGAGCTCAAATTCCCAAATTTTCCAAATCCTCCACATCTTGCAGCGAACTGAAACTAAAGTTTGATTCCATGAGGTCGGGAAGAGCTTGAATTGCAAAAATGTGGGAGGCAAAAGCAGAAAAAAGTTGGGAGAGAAATTTAAAGAGAAAAAGACACAAAGCCCAGAGAAAAACATTTTTAGGATGGATCCCTTGCATCTCACTGAAGGCAAAAATTCCAAATCCAAACATGTTTGGATATAGATGGCTCTGATTGACTTTCTGGACAAGGAAAAGAAAGAAAAAAAAAACAGCAAAAAAATTATAAAAATATATTTTCCTCCTCTTTGCATGTTTTTAGGGAATTTTAATGGAAAAGATTCCCATTAATCACCTCTGCTTGCCTAAAGCATGGGGAGACAAATCTGATTCAGGGAGGATTTCCAAAGGGAAAAGCATTTCAGGTTGGGGTTTTTCCAGCTCATTTACAGGGATGTAAAATTTAACAACCTTAAGGAATGAGGAGGAGGAAGGGGAAGAGGGTTTAAAACAAAAAAACAAAAAAAACCCAACAAAACAAAACAAAAAAAAACTCAAAAAAAAAACCCCAAAACAAAACAAAACAAGAGTTATTTCAAATTTTCCCCCAAAATATGCTTGGAGTTTTTAGGCTTTACTATTTTTGACAAGTTCCAACACACAAAGGCAGTTGGAGCAACAAGAAAAATTTGCAATTCATCCCAAAAAAAACCCCAAAAAAACCCCAACTTGGCAGAGAAAAATAAAAGGAAAAAAAAAAAAGAGGGGGGAATTTAAAAATCAATGAAAAGAAAGGAGCCTGGAACTTTGGACCAAGGGAAAAATCCAGGAGTGAAAAAAAAATCTCCTGGATCTCATGAAAAATGAAATGATTTTAGCAGGAATAGCAGGAATTAGTTTTTAAGGATAGCAGGAATTTCTCCTTTCCAGCCAGAGAAAGGGGGATAATTTCTGGAATGCTGAGCTGAGGAAAGCTCCAAAAATGAGACACATTTTAAAAGATAACTAAAATTCCTGGAAAAAAAATTCTCTGGGAAAAATCCCTCTCTACTGAGGAGAGAGCAGCAGGAAGAGCTGGGGGAACTGGAAGTTTTTGATGGAATAATTAATCCCAAAAAGGCGACAATTTAAGGTGACAGGAATTCCCAAAAAAAGGTGAAGGAGCTGAGATGGGAACTTTTGGAGATGAGGGATTTGATGGAATAATTAATCCCAAGAAGGTGACAATTGAAGGGGAGGAGACTCAGCCCTTCAAAAGCACCTGGGTTAATTTTGGTAATTTTTAAGTGACCTGAGAGAACACAAAAAGAGGGGATTTAAAGCCCCAGATTTTGCTATGATTTCCTCAAGAGACTTAATAGTTTTTACCTGCAGGCAAAACCCCCGAGATATCCAAAAATTTCTGCCTCTTGTTGCTTCAGTTTCCACATTTTCAAGTCCTTAGCTCCAACCAATATCTGTTCCCAGCCTCCAGGTAATAATTTGAGATCTTGGGATTTCCAGTTTGGAGTCAGAGAGCCCAAAAAAAAAAAAAAAAGGTTTCACTCACATTCCTGGAGGTGCTGGAAGGCACAAAAAAGCAGCGCTTCGTTCACGGGCTCATTTGGGATTTGTTCATGGCATTTCACACCTGTGGAATTCCCAGGTGGAAAAAAAGAGATGAGGCTCTGATTCAGATCAAAAATGGATTGAAAATAAATTACCTGTAGGATGGAATTCCCACTCTTGGGTCCATGTGGTTGGTACTGACCACAGGGGGTTTGAGAGATGATTTTGAGGGGATTCCACAAAACCTTCGACCTGGAAGTTCCACCCATGATGGAATTGTGGAATTTTTTTGGGTGGGAAGGGACCTTAAAGCCCATCCAGCGTCCAAGGACACCTTCCACTATCCCAAGCCACATCCTTGGATATTCCAGGGATCCAGGGGCAGCCCCAGCTGCTCTGGCAATCCCAGCCCAGCCAGGAATTCCTTCCCAAAATCCCACCCCAATCTCCCTTTCCCAGGGAATTCCCTCCATTCCCAGCTCTCCCAGCCTGGCATTGGACCCATCCACACCCTGACTCTGCTCCAGGAAGGAATTTTGGGATCCGGGGGCTTCACTGGGAATCTCGGGACTCCAGGAAGGGTCTCCCTTCCCTTTTCCATCCCCAACTTCCATAAAAATCCCTCAGGATGGATTCTGAGCCTCCTTGATCCCAGAATCCCAGAATGGTTTGGGTGGGAAAGGACCTCAAATCCCATCCCATTCCAATCCCACCATCCCAGGCTGCTCCAGCCTTTCCTTGGACATTCCAGGGATCCAGGGGCAGCCCCAGCTGCTCTGGCAATCCCAGCCCAGCCAGGAATTCCTCATTCCCAAGATCCCATCCATGGCTGCCCTCTGGCAGTGGGAGCCATTCCCTGTGTCCTGTCCCTGCAGGCCTTGTCCCCAGTCCCTCTGCAGCTCTCCTGGAGCCCCTTCAGGCCCTGGAATGTGCTGGAAGCTCTCCCTGCATCCTTCTCCTCTCCAGGGGAACATTCCCAGCTCTCCCAGCCTGGCTCCAGCCCTGCAGCAGCTCCATGGAATCCTCTGGAATCTCTCCAGCAGCTCCAGGTGCTGCTGCTGTTGGATCCAGACCTGGATGCACATTCCAGCCTTTTCCTTTTTCCTTGTGCTCCCATCCCTGCCCGGTTCTCCCATCCAAGACCACTTCCACATCCATCCCCAGCTCTCCACGCTTGGAAGTTGCTCCCTCCTGCATAAAACAAACCAGGTTTTCCCAGAATTTCCTCATCTTGGAGTACAGAATCCTGGAAAATCCTTGTGCCTCTTGAGTGGCCTCAGCGATTCAATCTTCTCCTATGTACAGGAAATTTTAAATTTAAATTAAATACAGGAATTGTATCTTTATTTGGATTCTGCAGAGCTGAGGATGCAGGTGGGGGATAAATATTCCTCTTATTTCCCAGCGGTAAAAAGGAATTATTCATTTTCCGTGGGCAGGGGCTCGTGTTTGTTTCAGATAATAATGTTGGAACATAATCTCCTATTTTGCAATCTCTTCTTGAGCCCTGAGCTTCCAAAATTTCCACCCATGAGATCCCACACGTGGGCCAGGGAATGCAAACCTTGCATGGAAATAGGAAAAGGAATTTTAAAAGAACCAGGGAGAAGCTGAATTTCCTGGACTCAACAAATCATCGATTTCTTGCCTTTCCTCCCTCAGCTTTTCTGCCATTCCCTCTCTCGTGCTCCCTTCCCGGGATCAAATTCCTAACCCAGAAGTCAAATTCCTTCCCAAAACATCTGGATTGTGCTGCCCTCTCCTGCCTCCTGAAGTGTGGAACATCTGGCTGAGGTTGAAGGCAATTCTGCCTGGATTGTATTTTTAATATTTACACTCCTTTTTCCAGATTTTTTTTCAGGGAATTCTGGTTTTACTGGCAGGGAAGAGTGTCTGGAGTCACACCTTAAGTTGGTCAGGGTCAAACTGGAGTTCTACAGAGGACTTAAAGCTTTTTGAAGAACCTCAGATTCTGATATTTGGAGGTTTTTAATCTTTTTGGAGAACCTCAGATTCTGATGTTTCGAGGTTTTTAATCCTATTGAAGATCCTCAGATTCTGAGGAAGATTTGGGTCTTTTTGGAGAACCTCAAGATTCCCATCAGGATCTGAGTCCTCAAATTCTGATTTGAGGTTTTGAGTCTTTTTGAAGAAACTGGGGTTCTGATTTGAGGACTTGAATCTTTTCAGAGAACCTCAAATTCTGATGGTTTTGAGCATTTGAATCTTTTTGGAGAACCTCAGATTCTGATTTAATATTTGAGGTTTTGGGAGAACCTGAGAGTCGCATATTTTGAGAATTTGAGTCTTTTTGGAGAAGCTCAAATTCTGGTTTGAGGATTCGAGTCCTTTTGGAGAATCACAAATTCTAATGGTTTGAGGATTTGAATCTTTTTGGGGAACTTTAAATTCTGATTGGAAGATTTAAGTTTTTTGGGAGAACCTCAGATTCTGGTATTTTGAGGATTTCAAGTTTTCTGGAGAACCTCAAACTCTGATTTGAGATTTTTTCGGGAGAACCTCAAACTCTGATTTGAGATTTTGAGGTTTTTTGGGAGAACCTCAAATTCTGATGGTTTGAGGATCTGAGCCTTTTTTGCAGAACATGAAATTTTGATGGATTAAGAACTTCAGTCTTTTTGGAGAACCTCAATTTCTCATGGTTTGAGATTCTGAGTATTTTTGGAGAATCTTACAAATTCTGATTTGAGATTTTGAATCTTTTTGGAGAAGCTCAGATTCTGATGAAGATTTGAGTCTTGCCTGGGACCCCAAACCTGGACAGTTGTGAAGATTTCAGTTTTGCTGGGAGATCTCAAATCCCGAATTTCCTCCTCCCCAGCTGCTCCAGGCTCCCATTGGTGCTGGATTTAGGGAAAACTTGGATGTGATGGTGATCTTAGAGGGCATTTCCAACCTAAAAAATTCCATGATACCATTAATTTTCCAGCCACCAGCAAAGCACAAAATGAGACACAAACCCAACTGCCTTTGAAGAGGAAACATATTTATTTCACTTTTAAAAAACCAACCCAAAACCCCACCCTAAACCCAACCAGCCACCCCAAAAGCGGTCGGGCTCCTCCTTTTCAGCCTCTGCTAAAAAATAGGTGCTCTGATCTCTACACAAAAATTAAAACCCAACTAATCAGCCTGGAGGGGGAGCCTGGGTTTAATTAATTTTGGCTAACAAGGCCCTTCTGCCTGGACCTTTCCTGAATTGCTGCCACTCCTGCGACTCCATAAATATTCCAAACGCACCGATCACGCCGGGAAGTTAAAAAAATTTAACTTTTTTTTTAAAGTTAATTTACAAAAGCAACAAACAGCAACAAACAACCCAGGGTTGATGTGCTGGGAGTGAAAAGGACATGGTTTAAAAAAACCCAAAAAAGAGGAGTGCCCAAATCCACCAAATATTCCCATGGGAATTGGGGACAATGTGCAAGGTCCTGGAGAGGAAGAGTGACCCAGAGGATGCACAGAATGTTACACCTGGGAACAGCTCCGTGCCAGCTCTGCTTTGTCCTGGATCCTACAATCCCTGGATAAAACTATCCCTGGATCCTACAATCCTTAGATCCAACAATCCCTGGATCCAACAATCCCTGGATCAAACAATCCCTGGATCAAACAATCCCTGGATCCAACAATCCCTGGATCCAACAATCCCTGGATCCTACAATCCCTGGATCCCACAATCCCTGGATAAAACACCCACCGGCCTTGAGTCACAGCTCCAGTGTTTCCCCACCGTGTCTGATCTCTGAAGAACCTCACCACTTACTCTCAGTTCCCAAAATCCTTCATCCCGAATTTCTGTTGGCTTCCCCACCTCCCCCATCCCAGCTGAAGCTCCGTGTGAAGAGCCTGGGGATGAAAATCATGGATAAAGGTTTTGCCTCTCTCTGGGTCCTTCCAGGAGCCCCCACAAACAGCTGGAACAACGCCTGACCTACACCAGCCTTCCTGTCTATGAAATCCCTGGGAAAATCCCATGGCACTTGAAATTCAGCTGTTTCAGGCTCAGGAAAAACAGAAACTGGAGAAAAAAAAGTCCTTCAGGATATCAGGATGGAGCTGCAGGTCCTGGCAGCACCTCGCTGGCTCTGCGTGGGATGGAATTCCCTTTTCCCACACTGGGATTTGGGGCTGGGGCTAAACCAGTGCTCCCAGCACGTCATGGAGCTTTTCCCTTTTCCCACTCTGCCTCCCAGCAAGGATGAGGCCATGGAAAGCTGGGAAGGGGATTATCCCAGAGAGCTGATAGAAATCAGCAGTAAAAATAGAGGGAGGAAATTTTGGAAAGGTGACCTTGGCTCAGGGAATGCCTGGGAGGAAAGTGCTGTCATTCATCACTTTGGGGTTTTTTTCATTGTTTTTCCTTTGCTATTAAACCCCCTCCATCCCTCCTGGATGCCTCAACTGTCCCAAGGTGCTGCTCCAGGAAAACTGCAGGGAAGCTCCAGGAAAAGCAGCCAGGGGTGGCACTGAGGGACAGGCTGGCACAAAAGCCATGAGGAAGCTGATCCCAAGGGATGGGAGGAGAACTGGGAGAGGAAAGCCAGCCCTCCCAGGATCCACTGGGCAGACTGGGAGATTCAGCTGGGGGTGTATCCCACATCCTCCCAGCACAGGGATCAGGGATTCCCACTGGAATGGGGCTCAGCCATCAGCTGCAGACACCGGGACAATGAAAGGATGGCACCAAACTGGCTCAGGGTCCAGCTGATCCAAGGCAACAGCATGGAAGATGGGCTCCCAAAAAAGCCCTGGATCAGCTGCTCCTTAAAAAGGGCTATTCCAATGGAAAAAAAAAAATGGAAGAGAAATTGGAAGCAAAAGGGGTCACATAAAAAAATGCCGACTTGCAAAAAGTACCTGGATTGTTTCTCCATAATCCTTCCCCCAAGTTCCCAGCGGAGGATCCTCATTTTCCCAGGAGCTTGGCACAGCCAACACCTCCCCTGTTATAAAAACTCCCCCTGGGAGGGGGAGCTCCCTGCTGCTCTGCTCTGCTCTGGAAAAACACCAAAATCCCTGCGGGAAATCCCTGGATTCACTCCTCCTTGGGCCGGCGGCGGCGCGCCAGGAGGGGCCCGAGGCTGTTCCACACCTCGGTGTACATCAGGGTGCCCACGAAGACGAAGGCGGTGCCCAGCCAGTGCCAGCCCGTGAAGGGGTTCTGGAAGTAGAGGATGGAGAAGATGAGGCTGACAAATTTGCGGAGTGTCACCACCAGGGTGACCGTGAGGGACGTGCACTCCGTAGTCAGGATGAAGACGCCGCGGATGCAGACGTACCTGGGAGCTGGAGCTAAGGGATGGGCACAGGGAATTCCCTTTGGGAATGGGCAGCCTGCTGTGGGTGAGGGAAATTCCCTCCTGGGAATAGGACACCACAAACTCAGGGACATCCCAAATCTCCCGGTTTCCCCACTGTGTTGGCAATCCCTGTCACAGAGCCAAGGGAAACTCCAAACTCCTCCACTTCCATGGAGCAGCAGTCCCAAAATCCCAGAACCAGGCTGGAGAAGACCTTTGAGATCACAGAGTCCAAGCTAAAAAACAGAACTTCCCATTCCCTGTAATTCTGGAGTTACACCACCAGCAGCTCCCGAGGGCAGGGAAGCCTCCAAGGATTTACCTTCTCCTGGGAGCAGGAGGTAAGGGACAGCAGGGATGGACACAGGGAATTCCCTTTGGGAATGGGCAGCCTGCTGTGGGTGAGGGAAATTCCCTCCTGGGATCAGCTGGGTTGGAACAGGACACTACAAACTCAGGGACATCCCAAATCTCAGACTCCCCTACTGGAGCAGCCAGGTCTGAGCTGGACAATGGAAACTCCAAACTCCTCCACTTCCATGGAGCAGCAGTCCCAAAATCCCAGAAAAAACTGGTTGGAAAAGACCTTTGAGATCACAGAGTCCAACCTAAAAAACAGAACTTCCCATTCCCTGTATTTCTGGAGTTACACCACCAGCAGCTCCCGAGGGCAGGGAAGCCTCCAAGGCTTTAGGAAGCCTCCAAGGATTTAGGAAGCCTCCAAGGATTTAGGAAGTCTCCAAGGATTTAGGAAGCCTCCAAGGCTTTAGGAAGCCTCCAAGGCTTTAGGAAGCCTCCAAGGCTTTAGGAAGGCAGCCCCAATCCCACTGTGCCACCCCACAAAGGGTGGGATCAGGATAAAGGATACTGGGTGATGACGTTCATGAGGAGGTAGAACCACATGATTGGCAGGGTGAGGCCGATCACCGGCACCTGGAACAGCTCTGCAGGGAAAAAATGGAAAATAAGGAAAAATATTAGGAGAAAAGCTCTGTTTTGCTCTCCTGGGTCAGAGCTCTCGTGCTGGAGGAATCCACTCTGCTCCCACAGCAAATCCTGGGGAACACCAGCAAAGAACATCCCAGCAGGCCCATGCTTACATCCCTTATTGAGGATTAAGTCCTGGTATTATCATTTTTGAGCTACCATGTTCCTTTTCCCAGGGATCACTCTTGGATGTGGCTGGTGTGTGGGAATTAGTCAGAAACTTGGGCTTTAATCATGGAATTATGGAATGGTCCCTTAAATTCCATATTCCCATCCATGGCGGGGACACCTCCCACTGTCCCAGGCTGCTCCAGCCCCAGTGTCCAACCTGCCCTTGGACATTCCAGGGATCCAGGGGCTGCCCCAGCTGCTCTGGCAATTCCAGCCCAGCCAGGAATTCCTTCCTGCAAATTCCTCAAAATTCAGAAGGCTTGGAACACCCCAAGCTGCCAGCATGCACCACTGCAGGAAGGGAACTTCCCAGAGGATTTTCCAGAGGCTGGGAAGGCCCAGGAGCACGGAGCCCTCAGCACAGCACTCACCAGACTGGTTGAAGAGCACGGCGTGCTGGTAAATGTTGGGAGCCAGGAGCAGGAATCCAGGGAGTGGCAACGCATGCTGGGGGGAGAAACAAATCCATGGTGGGATCAGGGGATGGGAATCCACCCCAATTCCCTGCTGGAGAGCAGCTGGATCTCAGCAGGCTCCTCACTGCTCCATCCTGGCAGTGTGGGATCCTTTCTGTGCCCAATCCAGGAGTGGAAGGGACCTTGGGGCAGGGAGAGCCCCAGGGACTCACGTTGTAGAACAGGGCCTCCTTGGAGTGCTTCCCAAATTTCTTGTACAGCATCTCCTGGAAAATCCCCATCCTGGCAGACATCAGCAGGGCGAAGGTGAGGGCAGCAATACCTGGAAGGGAAGCACAGCCCTGCAGCTTCAACTCACCAAATTTGGCTTTCAGGGGGAAAAAAAAAACAAAACCAAACAAACTGCCCAGACTTGGTAAGAAAACTGATAACAATTCTAGGGTTTGATTACAGGTATCCAAGAGATCCCTTAAAAATACCAGGGATGCACTTTGTGCCACTACTGATAATAATCAATCCCAGATTTCCCAAAGAGCCACCAACAGAGCCAGGGTGGAGGTAGAAAACCACATTTTAAAGCCTCCTCCATGAACTGTTGTGCTGAAGGAACACCTGGAGCAGCCCCAGCCCCTCGTCCTCTCTGCTCCAGGCAGGGCTGCTTTCGCCAAGAAAATTCCAAGAATCCTGCCAGTATCCCAGAAATGTGAGCCTCACATACCCAGCAGCCACCAGAGGAAAGCCTGGGGTCCATCCTCTTCATTTGAGCTGGAGTCAGATGCCTGAAGGGAGACACAAAGTCACCAAGAGCCACCAGGCCCCTGCAGCAGCCACAGGCTTCCCGCTCTGATCCAGGGAATGCAGAGATTCCAGAAAAAAAAAAAAAAAAAGGCAGAGTCTGATCACATCAGGATTGTTCCTGAAAGGAAGGGCCTGGTTTGATGAGACTGAACTCTTTTAACCACAAAAATAATCAGGGTCCCTTTTCAAGCTCCCAAAGCCAGCCCAATCCCAGGGTCCTGTGTCCTCATCCCATTCCAAGGTTTTTGTATCCCCATCCCATTCCCAGATTCCTGTGCTGCCTTTTCATTCCTGGGTTCCTGTATCCCCATCCCATTCCCAGATTCCTGTGCTGCCTTTTCATTCCTGGGTTCCTGTGCTCCCATCCCACTCCCATGTTCCTGTATCCCCATTCCCAGGTTCTTCTATCTCCATCCCATTCCCAGGTCCCTGTGTCCCCATTCCCAGGTTCCTGTATCCCCATTCCCAGGCTCCTGTGCCCCATTCCCAGGTTCCTGTATCCCCATTCCCAGGTTCCTGTGTCCCCATCCCATTCCCATGTTCCTGTGCTCCCATCTCATTCCCATGTTCCTGTATCCCCATTCCCAGGCTCCTGTGCCCCATTCCCAGGGATGACTGTGCAGGAAGGAAGAAGAGCTCTGGCCAAACCCGTGAGGAGCTAAAACCAGACCTAAACCCAGGTTTGTGCTCAAGAAATGGATGAAATCAGTCTGAGGGCACAGCTCCAGTGGACTTGCCTCAGGGAAAATCAGATTTATTCACCTTTGCCACAGCTGTCAGCACAACCCCGAATTCCAGCCCTGCTGGGAGCTGATGTGGATTAACAGAGAGCCAAGGCTGCAGAGCCCAGCCCTTCCTCGGGTAAAAAGCTCTGGAATGATGGGGAATTTGGAGCTTTGACAGCTCCCTTTCATTTCCAACCTCTCCGAGCTGGATTAAGTGCAGCCAATTTTCCCTTTCTGCCATTTTTTTGTCATCAGCTGACAGGGTCAGGCCGTGGGTGCTGACTCCGACTGCATTCCACATGGATTTGCTTCCCTCCCTCCTGCTCTCCAAGCACTGGCACTTTATTTAAGGGTCAGGCTGGATGACAACAGGAAAAATCCAGCCTGAAAGGCAACAATTTCTTGTGGGATGGAAAGAGGGAAGATTTCTGATGGCTTTTTGTTGAGGATTCACCTGCTCCTGCCTGCCAGGAGCAAGAAAAAGCAGCTTCTTTCTGTTACCTCTGAGGCCAAAAAAAATGAGGTTTATTCCCAGCAAAAAGCAGCGTGAACAGGTGAAGAGACACCTGTAATTAAACAAAATCCCACAGGAAAATAAAACCAGGAGGAAAAGCTTTTCGGGGAGCGGATGTAGAGGTCGGAGACACCTACAAAGGGAATTCCTGAGGCTCCTCGTCCCTTCCCATCCTTACCACTTGCTTGGCAGACATGAAGGTGCAGGTGAAGATGCCCAGGGACACCAGGGCGATGGAGCTGTATTTTGACACGCTGTACCTGCACAGGGGACAGGGGACATGTCACTGACCCTGCCTGGTGTCCCTGCATCCCTGGATATCTGGGATTCCGGGATAACGGGCACGCTGCCCCTCCCTGACGTGCCAGGGCCAGCTGACTCCAGCTCAGCACCTCAGGAGGCTTTTCTCCCCACCTTTATCCCAGTTTATCCCAACACTTCTCCCTCAGGAAGCTTTCCTCCCCACCTTTATCCCAGATTATCCCAACACTTTTCCCAGTTTATCCCACAACTCCAGCCTTGAGTCTGGGCAGGCACGGCTCAGCGTTATCAGCGTGTTATTAATGTGTTATCAGAGTGTTATTGATGTATTAATAATGGATTATCAGCGTGTTATTAATGTGTTATCAACGTGTTATTAATGTGTTATTAGCATGTTATCAGTATGTTATTAATGTGTTATCAACGTGTTGTGTTATCAGCATGTTATCAGCATGTTATTAATGTGTTATCAACCTGTTATCAGCGTGTTATTGATGTTATCAGCATGTTATTGTGTTATCAGCATGTTATCGGTGTGTTATTGATGTGTTATCAGCATGTTATTGATGTGTTATCAGCATGTTATCAGTGTGTTATTGATGTGCTATCAACATGTTATCAGCATGTTATTGATGTGTTATCAACATATTATCAGCATGTTATTGATGTGTTATCAGCCTGTTATCAGCGTGTTATTGATGTGCTATCAACGTATTATCAGCGTGTTATTGATGTGCTATCAGCATGTTATCAGCATGTTATCAGCACTGCTGGAGCCACAATCCCCAGCAGACAGGAGGCACCGAGCTCCACCCCAGCCACAGCCAGCACAGAATCCCTCAGGAGCACTTCCAGAACTGAACACAGAGGCTGCAGCTGTGGAAAATCTCTTCCCAGCCCATAATTCCAGCCAAGACAGGAGGGAAGAGGTGGAAATGCAGAAGGAGCTATTCCAGCCTCTATGCCATGCTCTCTGTCCCAGTTTCCCATCATTAAAATCAGAATATTTAACAGGAAGAATGATGGCACGAAACACCCAGCAGGATTTAATCCATGGCAGAGCATTCCCTAAAGATAAGAAGTTTGTGATTTACCTTTTCTTCAGGATGATGATCCCTAGAGCCATGCTTGCTATGAGAGAACCCTGGGGAAAAAAAAAAACCAAACAAAAAACAGAAGGGAAAACCAAAACATGAGGTCAGCAGGCCAGAATTCCCCATCTTGGGATGCTGATCCCAAAGGGACACTGCAAACTCAGTGTGGTGGATACCAAGAGAAACGCCGCATTTGAAGCAGGAAAACTGACTTTAATGGGAGAAGGTGCAGCTTCCTTAAGGTTGGATATTGGGAAAAATCCTGCCCTGGAAGGGTTGTCCAGCCCTGGAGGGATTTCCAAGTCCTGTGGTACGTGGGACATGGGGCAGTGATGGCTTGGCAGTGCTGGGACTGGTTGGACTCCACAAGCTCAAAGTCCTTCTCCTGCCTCAATGATTCCATGATTCCCTTCATCCAGGAAAAGGGGAGAAGGTGAGCTGGCTCCCTTGGGAATAAGGATACTGGGCTGGGGACGTCCCCTTTATTTTTTTTCAGAACGTGGCCAAATCCCACTGGTTTAACTGGGAGCAGGAGCCCAGCTCCAGGGATTGACTGCAGGAGCAGAACCACCCCTTGCAGTTCATGGGGGACAGGTCTCCTGTAGCGTGGGCTGGTTTTGAACCTCTCCCCATTCCAGATATTCCACCCCCAGGATGTGCTGTGGGAAAAGAGCTCCCACCAGGAGGTTTTGTTATTCCCAACAGCTGGGGCTCCATTTCCTTGGGGTTTAAGAGATCTTTTAGCCTGGCACTCATCCACACTTAGGTGAAGATGCAGTTTAATGGGTTTTTTCCCAAAGCAAAGAACTGTGCAGGTGGATTAGGCCAAATCCCAAATCCCAAATCCATGCTCTCTGACCTGTGATGTTCAAGACCAGAACATGAATCACTTGGTGGCAGGGAAAGCTGAATCCCTCTGGCCAACCAGAGTCTGGGATTGCTTTTGTCACCGCCACTTCCCCCTCAGCTCTGGAATTCCAAAGCCTGTCTGAGCCTGTTTCCCTGTCTATCCATTAACTTGGAATTTAATGATCAACACCATAATGTGAAACCTCTGGAGCTGAGCTTTGGAGCGAGGCTGATCTCCCACCAGCTGGAATTCAGGATTTCCACAGGGGTTTGGTGCTCTCAGGACACATGGAGCAGGGATGGTTGCAGGAGAAATGATGGAATGGGAGCCCCAGGAGGAGAAGGAGGAGAAGGAGGAGAAGGAGGAGAAGGAGGAGAAGGAGGAGAAGGAGGAGAAGGAGGAGAAGGAGGAGAAGGAGGAGAAGGAGGAGAAGGAGGAGAAGGAGGAGAAGGAGGAGAAGGAGGAGAAGGAGGAGAAGGAGGAGAAGGAGGAGAAGGAGGAGAAGGAGGAGAAGGAGGAGAAGGAGGAGAAGGAGGAGAAGGAGGAGAAGGAGGAGAAGGAGGAGAAGGAGGAGAAGGAGGAGAAGGAGGAGAAGGAGGAGAAGGAGGAGGAGGAGGAGGAGGAGAAGGAGAGGAGGAAGAGGAGGAAGAGGAGGAGGAGGAGGAGGAGGAGGAGGAGGAGAAGGAGGAGGAGGAGGAGGAGGAGGAGGCTGCTCACCGAGCGGAAGATCATGTGCAGCGGCATCGCGATGTTCAGGTTCAGGGCATAGTTATTGACCACGCTGACGGTGAAGAACATGGCCACCATGATGAAATAGTTCCTGAAACGTGGAAAAATACCTGGGAGATGTGCAGGAACCTCCCTGAGATGCTGAGAGACCCCTCAGGAATGATCGTGGGATGCATGGAGAGGTTTGGAGCAGAGCAGAGCTTCTGGGTCTGTCACCAAGCTCGTCCCCAGTGGAGAAATGTGAAGTGAATTTGGGTGATTTTCCAGGAAAACTTTCCCTTCCCACTCCCACCACACCAAATCCCAGAGATAAAAAGCTCTTGAAGCACAACAAACTCTTCCCTGTGCAAAACTCTGCCCCGTTCCTGTGACAGGGAAAGATCTGATGGCAATTTCCCATTAAAAACTCCTGATATATGAGTGGGGATTTTATCCAGCCTGACACTTCCCAACGTGGCTCTGCAGATGCTGCAGGATGGATGGGATTTCCACAGGATAAGTGGAAAAGCCACTTTATGAAAAGTTTTTTGGAGGTAAGAGAGATCCAGGCCACTCCTGCTGGGGAAAACCTTGGGATTGTACCTGATGGGGATGGCCGGGCGCTTCCTCCCGAAGTTGGCCTCGAAGATGAAACCTTCCAGGGCAATGAACAGGAACTGGGAGAAGGTCACGATGTTCCCACATCCTGGGAACTGCCTGCAGGCAGGGAGAGACCAGCATCAGAGCCATTCCAGGGAGAGCTAACACTGGGATCCAACAAAAGGAGGCAGCAGAGCCAGAATCCTGCCCCTTTTCCCAGAATCCTGTCCCTTTTCCCAGACTCCTGTCCCCTTTTCCCAGACTCCTGTCCCCTTTTCCCAGACTCCTGTCCCCTTTTCCCAGACTCCTGTCCCCTTTTCCCAGACTCCTGTCCCTTTTCCAAGACTCCTATCCCTTTTCCCAGAATCCTACCCCTTTTCCCAGAATCTTATCCCTTTTTCCAGACTCCTGTCCCCTTTTCCCAGACTCCCATCCCCTTTTCCCAGACTCCTGTCACTTTTTCCCAGACTCCTGTCCCCTTTTCCCAGACTCCTGTCCCCTTTTCCAGAATCCCATCCCTTTTCCCAGAATCCTACCCCTTTTCCCAGAATCCTGTCCCCTTTTCCCAGAATCCTGTCCCTTTTTCCCAGACTCCTGTCCCTTTTTCCCAGGCTCCTGTCCGTTTTCCCAGAATCCTATCCCTTTTTCCAGACTCCTATCCCTTTTCCCAGAATCTCATCCCTTTTCCCAGACTCCTGTCCCCTTTTCCCAGAATCCCATCCCTTTTTCCAGACTCCTATCCCTTTTCCCAGACTCCTGTCCCCTTTTCCCAGACTCCTGCCCCTTTCCCCAGAATCCTACCCTTTTCCAGAATCCCATCCCTTTTCCCAGACTCCTGCCCCCTTTTCCCAGACTCCCGTCCCCTTTTTCCAGAATTCTACCCCTTTTCCCAGACTCCTGCCCCCTTTTCCCAGACTCCTGTCCCCTTTTCCCAGACTCCTATCCCTTTTCCCAGACTCCTGTCCCTTTTCCCAGACTCCTGTCCCCTTTTCCCAGACTCCTATCCCTTTTTCCCAGACTCCTACCCCTTTTCCCACAAAGAGACCCACCCTGGAGAGGTTTTACTCAGGGTTTGTTCACCTGACCTTGTGCAAACACCTGCAGGGTGTTTCCTCCAACATTTCCCAAGAGGAACTTGGAATGTTGGAGCAGTCAGGTCAGGGAAGTTAAAGAAAAAACTGCTGGATCTCTCTCTTTCCCATGGGAAGTGGCTTTAGGAGGACTCTGTGTTTGTTAGAGGTGAGGTAATCTGAGGTAATCTGCCTTACAAGGGGGAAAAGGCAGCTGGAAATTCAATATTCCTCATGCCTGCTGCAGGAGGGAAGTGCCAAGGTCAGGTCTGTGCTGGCAGAGTGTCCCTGGTTCAGATTTGCTCAATTTCCTCTAAAAAAGCTTCAGCTCCCCTGGGATTTCTGAATTCTAGAAGGGACCAAAACTCCTCACAGGAGCCCAAAAAAAGTCCTGGAAGAAATCCCACGTGACATCCACGGATCTTTTTAATGTGACAGCAACTGCTCCAGGCTTCCAAATCAACAAAATTTTGTCTGAGCTCAAAAGGGACCCTCTTAGTCCCTTTTTGTCCCCCCCTGGAGGGACCCAGGAGTGCAGAAATGCCACCAGCTCCGAGCAATCCAAGTGTTTATCCTGTGGGAACAGGAATTCCACAATTCCACAGCAAGGAATTCAAACAAACACTCCCTGAGGAGCCCCAAGGGAGCAGGGAAGGATTTCCTGGGAAGCAGAAGCTCAGAGGAGGCTGTGACAGGGCAGATAATGAGAAAGCTCATGAGAAATGGACGGATTTAGGGAATCTTTCCCTTTTTTTTTTCCTGGTGCAAGACAAAAACTGAGGCAAAACATTCCTGGGAGAGTCCTGCTCCTCATGGAACATGCTGGATGCAGTTTTGCAGGATTCAAGCTGGGAAATGCCCTGGAAAACAGGAATTTCCAAGCTGCCTCCTCCAAATTCTCCTCTGTCACCCCACAGAGCTCTGAGGAGCAGCAGCCACATGGGGAATGCAGGGCTGAGCCGACAACACCTGGAAAAATCCAATTTTCCCTGCTTTTTCCAGGGATGGGCACCACCCTGAGCCACTTCCCTCTGCCCACCTGCCAATTCTTCTTCCCAGAAGAAGAATTATCCATAAAACTTCGTTATCTTTTCAGCTCTGAGGCTGAAAGGTTCAAAAGGGAGAAAGAGAAGAGACCTTGAAGCAGAGCCAGAAGCTCCAGGATTGCAAATCTTATCTCCAGCCTTATCTCCAAGCTTTCACCTCCAGAGGGGATCACAAGGAGCTGGAAACCTGGGATAAAACCCAAGGATGGGCTTTGCCTCCTCCCAAATCACAGAGCCCTGGACATGACCCCATTTTATCAGCACTGTTGGCACTCGGGGTTTTGTGCTGGCTGATAAGACACAGCTAAAAAAGGGCTCCTTCTTTGGCTCACAATCCTCACTCAGATCCACCTAAAAAATGAGATCAGTTTGGATCTATCAACCCAAGATCTGCTTCAGCTGCAGACAACCAAAAAGAGTCCTCCCAGCAAGAAGTTTCCCTGCTCTCTCTCCTACTCCACTACATGGAAAGGGAGAAAATCTGATTTTTGGGCCTGATTTACATCCCTTCCACAGCAATTTGAGCCCCTAAAATCAAGAAATTTGAGATTGCTTGTTCTGCCTCCCCAGCCCAGCAGAAATATTTCTCTTCTCTCCTCTGCAGCTAGTTTAAACTATTTTGTCTGCCCTCAGGTATTTCCAGACTAAACACTTCTCATTCCTTGGCTTTCCTTATAAATCCTGGGCAAACTTCTTCCCAATCACTTTTACTACTCCTCACCAAGCTGGTCACTGCCTTTTCCAGGATTTTGCTTGCTATTGGGAATATTCACCTGCAGGAGGAAATTTTCCTTCCAAAACCCAACAAAATAATTGGTGTTATCCCAATTTTGGGATTAAAGGTGAGCAGGGCAAGTAAAAGGCACAGGAATTGAGCTGTTGGGATTTTTAGGAATTTTTAAAGTGGATGAGAGGTGCTGCTTGAAAGGTTTTGTGTGAAAAGCAGCTTTTCCTTGATGTCTGCAATTGGATTTCTGGAATTTGCTCCTCTGGGCTTGAGTCACCTTTGAATAATTCAGTCTTTGAACAGGGCCAAATGTTTTGGTTTAAGGTTTGCTTGGAGGAGACCTGAGTGGCAAAAAAAGCCAAATCCAAAGGGTTTTTTTGCTTCCAAAGGGTTCAGCCCTCCTCTGTCACTGATGCTGCAACACAAACCAGGCAGGAAATCAGAGGTTGGAGTAATCCCTGAGAGAAAAAACAGCTCCTCACACAAACTCCGTGATTTATCCAGGGATTGTGCACCTGAATCCCATTTGGGAGCAAATATCCCAACTGCTGGATTTTGCAGTCCCTTTTTCCTTTAATAATCTGGGATATTGATGGGCTGGGAGGGAGTAAGGGCTGATTTTGGAAGCTGGAGTGCACTGAGGGCTCAGGGGTGCAGCCCCACGCTGACTCACTGGGATTTTACACACCAAACCAGTTCAAGCATCACTTTTTTCCCAGTCAGGCCTTCCCACCTTTCTGAACAGCCCCTTCCCAAGCTTCCAGCCTTCCTCCATCAGGGTGAGGAAGGTGAGATCCCCAAAAACACCAGGGTGAGGAAGGTGAGATCCCCCAAAATCATCAGGGTGAGTGAGGAAGGTGAGATCCCCAAAAACACCAGGGTGAGGAAGGTGAAATCCCCAAAATCATCAGGGTGAGTGAAGAAGGTGAGATCCCCAAAATCATTAGGGTGAGGAAGGTGAGATTCCCAAAATCATCAGGGTGAGTGAGGAAGGTGAGATCCCCAAAAACATCAAGGTGAGGAAGGTGAGATCCCCAAAAACATCAGGATGAGTGAGGAAGGTGAGATCCCAAAAACATCAGGGTGAGTGAGGAAGGTGAGATCCCCAAAAACATCAGGGTGAGGAAGGTGAGATCCCCAAAAACATCAGGATGAGTGAGGAAGGTGAGATCCCAAAAACATCAGGGTGAGGAAGGTGAGATCCCCCAAAAACATCTGGGTGAGTGAGGAAGGTGAGAGCCCCAAAAACATCAGGATGAGGAAGGTGAAATCCCCAAAAACACCAGGGTGAGGAAGGTGAGATTCCCAAAATCATCAGGGTGAGTGAGGAAGGTAAGATCTCCAAAAACACCACGGTGAGCAAGGTGAGATCCCAAAAACATCAGGGTGAGTGAGGTGAAATCCCCAAAATCACCAGCCTCCAATCTGAGAATTCAAGGGGACTCGGTGACTTTGCCGGATTCCAGGTGGAAAACATTCCAAGGATTCCAGGTGGAAAACATTCCAAGACCCCAAGCTCGGATTTCCAGGAGGAAAACATTCCCTGCTGTCCCCAGGGGCAGCTCCTGCCTTGTCCCTGGGATCTGAGCGCTGGGACAGGGTGGGATGGGAACATCCCCTAGCCCGGACATGGCACCGACACATTATTTAGTCATTTATTTGGATGTCACATAATTGATATGAACTGAGTTATAAATGAATTTAATTTCCATTTTAATGGGAGTGAATTTTATTATTAAATCTTCCTCCACAACTCCCTGACAGGAGGATGGAGCAAGGTGGGAATCCAGCTCTTTTCCCAAGGAATAAGGGACAGGATGGAAGAAAAGGGGAAAAAAAAAACAAACCCCAAAAGCTTCCTGAGCTGACATTTTAGGGTTATTTTCACACTGAAGCACTTAGAAAAAAACCAAACCCGATTTGTTGTGTGGCTTTAATCCAGTTTAGAGCCAAGGTGCTGCATTGGGGTGCCCAGAACACCCCAAACCCACCCAGCAGGGACACAAGGCGATGATTTAGCTCTGGGCTCTTCCATGAGGGGCACCGAGGCCTGAGGGGTTTAAAACCCCCTCAGCACCCCAAATCCCCCAAAACCCACCCCGGCACTGCTGCTGCCTCCCCTCACACACCCTGAGGGGATCCCATCCCAACAGGATCACCCCGATCCCGACCCTTTTTCCCTCAGCCCTCCCCGCGGCCCCGCACCTGGCCAGCAGCTCCAGGAACACCACGTTGCTGCAGCAGCCGCCGAACACCAGCCCCACAGCCACGGCCGGGTGCATGGCGTCGCTCCGGACAACCAGGCGGCGTGCCGGGCCGCGGCCGCATCCCGATCCCGGGATCCCACCTCGATCCCGGGATCCTGCCCCGCCGCCCCCGCTTCCTCCTCCGGCCGCCGGTAGTTCGCTGCCCGCCCGCCGCCGCCGCGGGGACTACAACTCCCGGCAGGCTCCGCGCCGCCGCAGCGCGGCTCCCGGCGGGCACCCAGGGCGAGGCACTATGGGAGTTGTAGTTCTGGGTGGAATGGCGGCGCTGAGGTGGCGTCAGGGGGAGGCGCGGCTCCGGCGCTGTTTGTGGTGAGGAGCGGCGCGTAATTGACTTTTTGGGGTCGTTTAGTGACCCTAAAACGCCAGTTAGAGGCACTTCCTAAGGTTCGGTGCCGAGGAAATTTTTCGCTGTTCAAAATAATAATTATTGTTGAAAGCGAGAGCTGGGAATGTTCCCCTGGAGAGGGGAAGGATCCAGGGAGAGCTTCCAGCACATTCCAGGGCCTGAAGGGGCTCCAGGAGAGCTGAAATTTGGGAAAAGCCTGGAGGGACAGGACACAGGGAATGGCTCCCACTGCCAGAGGGCAGCCATGGATGGGATCTTGGGAATGAGGAATTCCTGGCTGGGCTGGGATTGCCAGAGCAGCTGGGGCTGCCCCTGGATCCCTGGAATGTCCAAGGAAAGGCTGGAGCACCCTGAGATCATGGCAGGTGTCCCTGGAATGAGCTTTGAGGTCCCTTCCCACCCAAACCATTCCAGGATTCTGGGATCAAGGAGGCCCAGAATCCATCCCGAGGGATTTTTATGGAAGTTGGGGATGGAAAAGGGAAGGGAGACCCTTCCTGGAGTCCTGAGATTCCCAGTGAAGCCTCCAAATCCCAAAATTCCTTCCTGGAGCAGCGTCAGAGTGGGGATGGATCCAATGCCAGGCTGAGAGAGCTGGGAATGGAGGGAATTCCCTGGGAAAGGGAGATCGGGGTGGGATTTTGGGAAGGAATTCTGTTCTGGGCTGGAATTGCCAGAGCAGCTGGGGCTGTCCCAGGATCCCTGGAATGTCCAAGGCCAGGCTGGAGCAGCCTGGGACAGTGGGAGGTGTCCCTGGACACTGGATGGGATTTAAGGTCCCTTCCCACCCAACCATTCCATGATTCCATGATTTGCTGCAGGATTTTGGATGGTTTTTCAATCCAGTCCTCACTGAACTGCCTTGGCCAAGAAAACCCCAAAATTTTGCAGTTTTGGGGTTTTGGGAGCTCCCAGTTTTGGCTGTGAGCTCCCCGTGCCTGACTGCTATGGAATCACTTCTTGTTCTGCCAAAATCCAGAAAATTGTGAAAATCTGAACGTGAAGATCCGGAGCCTTGGAAGAGCTGCTGATCTTCAGCTGGAGGATCCTGCCCCGTGGAAATGCTTCCTAAAAAGCTTTGGAATTTGAGGCTCCCTGAATCTGAATTACTCATCCTGAGATGCTTGGTGTAATTCATCCAATTTAATCAACAAAACCCTTGGCTCTTCCATGGCTCCAAACTGGGACAAAATCCCATTTTCTGTGCAGGGAAAGGGCTCTGAGGAGGAACCTGCTGAGGCAAAAGGCTCTGGAAGTAGAAGGCAACAAAAATTAATCAGGACAAATGTTAATTCAGGAGTTTTATTGTCTTGTGAAAACTCAAATCTTCACTCACTTTCTACCCCTTCAGCTGGCTTTCAGTAATTCTCATTTTTGCTGATGGCTCCTCGCTAGGTTGTTTAAATCCACTTGCAAATCAAATAATTTTGATTCAACCACATTTTATTTAAAAAAGCCCCAACTCTGAACTGGTTTTCGCTCCCAATTTCCCTCTGAACTTTTCACAAAATCCCTCTTCTAAATAATTCACCAGTCTTACAACACAGACAATATTATCAGATGCCCTGGTGCTTCCACACCTCAATTAAATCTATAAAATTAATGGAAGATACAATTCCACGGTAGGAAAAAAAAATCTCCACCATTTCCCAGCTGAGAGTGCCCGGGGAAATAATTTCTGGCTTTGGGAAACACAGAAATTGCTTTTTAATAAAGTTATAAATAAATAACCCTTTTTTTTTTTTTTTTTTTTTTTGAGAGTTAATCAGAAATGGATTCAGCAATAATATTTGATAGATTTTGAAGAGCAAGAGATGGAAAAGCAGGGTCAGGAAGAGTCAGTGTGACAGAACAGAAATTGGGATGGACGTGGCCCTCAGGGGTTCGTGTTTGTCTGTCCAGGTGGGATTCGAGGCAGGGCAGGAGAAGACCCCAACTTGGCCTTGCTGGATTTCCTCAGGAGGTTCTCACCAGCCTCTGCAGGAATTAGAGACAGAAAGAGGGATTTTATTCCTATGAAAAGTGAAAATTTGCCACAGATTTCCAGTGGTTTTGGGGGAATATCTTGACCTCATCAACTCTAATCAGTCACTGTTTGTTTTGTTTTGGTGTTTTGTTTTTTTTAATATTTGGAATTCTGGAAGTGTCCAGCATTGGGTGGGGCTTGGAGCAATCTGGGATGGTGGGAATTGTCCCCGACCATGGCAGGGATGATTTTGTGTGGGAATCCAGAGCTTCCCTCTGGCTGCACTGGGACCCTGGCAGGGGTCAGGAACCCCCCTGGACAGAGCCCCCAGAGACACTGTCTGTGATCTCTGTCCATGGAAAAGAGTTTTCAATCTTACAGGATGAATTACAAGCTCTGAGTGTTTGATATCAGTAAATAATTAAGTGTGGCATGAGTGCAAAAGTAAAATTTTAGAATTCTAGATTAGGGGTGCAAAGGGGACAAGATGGAGGAAATTGGGTGTGTCTTGTCCTTTTTCTCCTTCTTCATGCCCTCCATGTTTCACTGTGGTGTTGGCATTTTTCTGTTGGTTCAGGCTGGGGACACACTGTTCAACGTAGGTGACAGATATTGGCACGTTATTGTAAATCCAGCACAGGTAGTTTGTGGTATTTAATGTTTGTAACATCCCACTGAGGGCAGAGCCCCACACGCTGCCCTGCAGGACAGAGCTGCGGCAGGGCAGCAGAACATGTTAGAGATAAACAGAATAAACAACCTTGAAACAGCACAGACCAATTATGGCTCTTCTTTGGCAGCGGGGCTGACAGACAGAGACTTTCTACAATCTCGGAATCATCAATACCTCAGATTCGGACAATTTTGAAGATCCCTCCCAAGCTGTTGGAACTCAAAATGTCCCTCAGACATTTTTGGAGGTTCCAGGCCCTGGTCAGAAGCATTTGAGACCCTGGCAGGCAGCTGGAAACAGCTGTGATTTTGGGTTTGAACCATGGAATGATTTACCAACCTTGCAGGAAGAACAAGAAGTTACAAAATTTAGATATTATAGTAGAAGTAGTCACAAAGTAGAGGGAAGAATTTTTGAGTGCTGTACAGGGGGGTTTTGGTTTTGTACATGGGGGTCAGAAGTTTTAAGATGGAGGGATTTGGGCCTGCCCTGTCCTCCCTCTTTCTCCTTGCTTACCACCATGTTCTCGGTGATGTTGGCACTCCCAGATTGGTTTAGAGTAGAAAAGCACCATTTAATATAGGTAATAGGCATTGGGGAAAAACTGTAAACATGTAACACGTAATGTACCATATAAAAGATAGAAAAGCACCATTTAATATAGGTAATGGGCATTGGGGAAAAACTGTACCCATGTAACACGTAATGTACCATATAAAAGACAGCAGCAGCCCTGGGCGGGGAGAGAAGAAGCAGTCGGGAGTCAGAGAGGATGTCAGGGTGTGTGTGTGCCTCTGCCTGAGCTGTGAGCAAACCACAGCAGCCCCAGAAGAAAATCTTTTAGATAATTTGCAATAAACAACCATGAGACCGAACAAGAGACTGCTGAGCCTTTCTTTGGAAGCTCCGGTTGGAGGAGAGACTTTTCCACCACATGGAACCCCTGAACCAGGCCAGGGTTCCAACACCAAGCCAAACCACCCTGGCTGTGTAATTCCATGGATTTCACTCTGACCTTTTGAAGTGTCCACTCCTTTTCCAGCTGCTCTGACTTTTCCAGGGAGGTGCCTCCGAGGGATGGGAAACTTGGTCCACACAACTTGGTCTGCTCTGGCAGGAGCTGCACCAGATGGGACAGAAAAGCGTCCCCTGAGACGCCCAAATTCCCTGGAGCTGCGGGGAGAAATAAAAATCTGCTTTAAAAGAGGAGGAAAAAAGGAAATTCATCGTGTCCGACAGAGGTGCTGATGTTTCACCCCCAAAGCTCAGCTGAGAAATGAACCCCAGCACTTCCCATGCCACAAAACCCCATCCCAAATCCCCTCAGAACTTCGGGAGATTCCCAAAGGCAACACCCACAACTCTCAATTTGTGTTGCTTGACTTAATTAATCAAGAATTTAATTTATCAGGGCCAATAACGAGGTCCAGCAGCAGATCGGGGTTGGAGCTCCCTGGATTGCAATTCCCAAATTTATGGAGCAGCACTGCAAGGAAGAATTCCAAGTAAATAAATTTTTTAAATTCCTTCAAAAGGTTCCTGTAAACCCCAGGGAGAACAAAAACCTCAAGGAGCACCTCTGAGTTGTTGTATCTCCTGCAGAAAATAAAAATCCAAATTTCTTCTCTGCAGAAAATCCAGAGCCAAAATCTGAGTGCTCAGACCCCACTGGAGCTTCCTCTGCTAAAAACTTCCCATTTCCATCCAGATTTCATCCATTATTCCAGGGAAAGCACGGAAAAGGCCTTAGAATGGTTGGTTGTTTTTTTTTTTTTTGGTTAATATTATGAAGATTATTTTTTTTAATATGAAAAAATGGTTTTTTTGTGGTTCTTATGAATGGCTGGCAGTTGTTCAGTGAAATTTGTAATTGTGATTTTTTTTTAAAATAAGTTTTAAATTTATTTTTTAAAAGTTTTTTTGTTGTGTTTATGGATTATGTTTTGATCGATCAAAGATTTCTCTATCACTGCTTCAGACATTCCAGAATGTCTCTGGTCTGGGGCAGCTCAGAGATTTAGGATTGATGGATTGATGGATTTATGAATCTGGGAGGGAGTTCAAAGATTATCCACCCTGACCTCATCCATGGTGCAGAAATCCAAAATAATTCCACCCTGTCCTTCCTGCAAGGAGTAAAAATGTGGAAATTCCATGAGAAATGGGGAATTTTTTGCTACCAGAGGTATTGGCAAAGCCTTAGAGAATTCCGTCACTGCCTTCAAGGGGAAGGAATATTTTATCATGGAAAAGGGAATATTTTATCATGGAAAAAGGAACATTTTATCCTGGAAAAAGGAACATTTTATCCTGTGAAATGAATATTTTTTCCTAGAAAATGAACATTTTATCTAGTGAAAGGAATATTTTATCTTGGAAAATAAATATTTTGTCCCAGAAAAAAAAATATTTTATCCCAGAAAACGAACATTTTATCCTCTAAAAGGAATGGAGATGTCCAAGGTGCTTAGAAGGAATAAAACCTCCCTCTCTTTCCTGCTTTTTCCAGGACACTTCCAGGGAGGTTCCAAAATTCCATATCCAGAGAAAGATCCATTCTCTGGCTCAGAGGCACCACGGGGTTCAGCCCCTGGTGCAATTTAAGGACCACAAATTTCAACATTTTTTTGTTCAATTCTTGAAGAACTTCAAGCTCATGAGATCTCCTAAATGCCACCAGCACTGTCCTGCTGAGTCATCTCCAACCTGGCCTTGGACACTTCCAGGGAGGTTCCAAAATTCCATATCCACAGAAAGATCCACTCTCTTGCTTAAAGGCACCTCAGAGCTCAGCCCCTTGTACAATTTAAGGACCACAAATTAAAAAATTTTTTGGTTCAATTCTTGAAGAACTTCAAGCTCATGAGATCTCCTAAATGCCACCAGTACTGTCCTGCTGAGTCCTCTCCAACCTGGCCTTGGACACGTCCTGGGAGGTTCCAAAATTCCATATCCACAGAAAGATCCACTCTCAGCAAGAGTAAAGGCACCTCTGAGGTGCCACATGAAGGCACCTCAGAGCTCAGCACCTGGCGCAATTTAAAGACCACAAATTTCAACATTTTTTGGTTCAACTCTTGAAGAATTTCAAGCTCATCATCTCTCCCAAATGCCACCAGCACTGTCCTGCTGAATCATCTCCAACCTGGTCTTGGACACTCCCAGGGAGGTTCCATAATTCCAGAGAAAAATCCACTCTTGCTCAGAGGCAACTCAGTGCAATTTAAGGACCACAAATTTCAAGATTTTTTGGTTGAACTCTTGAAGAACTTCAAGCTCATCGTCTCTCCCAAACGCCACTCGGCAGGAACCGTGCTAATCATGTAGAGAGAGAAGAACTCTGATTTTTACGCCACATTTCTCGCTCCAATTCTTGTTTTCCACACCTGCGCCGAGTTTCTCTCAGCACCTTTTGCCCTTCAAAGAAAACTCTTGAAAATCCCTTTTTGTGGGTAAAATAAAACCATTCCATGAGAAATGGGGAATTTTTTGCTACCAGAGGTATTGGGGAAGCCTTAGAGAATTCTGTCACTGCCTTCAAGGGGAAGGAATATTTTATCATGAAGTTCCAAGAGAGGGGAAGTTCCAAGAGAAAGGAAATTCCAAGAGAAAGGAAGTTCCAAGAGAGGGAAAATTCCAAGAGAGGGGAAATTCCAGGAGAGGGGAAATTCCAAGAGAGGGGAAGTTCCAGGAGAGGGGAAATTCCAAGACAGGGGAAGTTCCAAGAGAACGGAAGTTCCAAGAGAGGGGAAATTCCAAGAGACGGGAAATTCCAAGAGAGGGGAAGTTCCAGGAGAGGGGAAGTTCCAAGAGAACGGAAGTTCCAAGAGAGGGGAAGTTTAAAGAGAATAGAAGTTCCAAGAGAGGGGAAATTCCAAGAGAGGGGAAATTCCAAGAGAGGGGAAATTCCAAGAGAGGGGAACTTCCAGAAGAGGGGGAGTTCCAAGAGAACGGAAATTCCAGGAGCGGGGAAGTTCCAGGAGAAGGGGAGTTCCAAGAGAATGGAAGTTCCAGGAGAGGGGAAGTTCTAGGAGAAGGGGAGTTCCAAGAGAATGGAAGTTCCAAGAGAGGGGAAATTCCAGAAGAGGGGAAGTTCCAAGAGAATGGAAGTTCCAAGAGAGGGAAAATTCCAAGAGAGGGGAAATTCCAAGAGAGGAGAAATTCCAAGAGAGGGGGAGTTCCAGGAGAGGGGGAGTTCCAAGAGAACAGAAGTTCCAGGAGAGGGGAAGTTCCAGGAGAAGGGGAGTTCCAAGAAAATGGAAGTTCCAAGAGAACGGAAGTTCCAAGAGAAAGGAAGTTCCAAGATGGCATCTGGCCCCTTGGAGACCCCTTATCAGGGCGCTCCAAGGTGGGCTGGAACAAGACTTGGGCCAATGGAGTCACAGACACCCGATGCTTCAGGAGAGGGTTACGGGTGTGGGATGAACCAATCATTGGGGTGAGTTCCAACATTCCATTTGACTTTTGGACCTATCTGTAGGTAAGGGCATTGTCCAACCAGAAGAGGGGATTGTTTTCATCCTGGCTGTGTTATTGTAAATCTTTTGCCAGGCCATCATATTTATTCATCCTCCCCAACAATCGGGATGTGATGGTTTCAGTTCATCCCACCCCAAAAGGAGCTCACCTGCTCTCGGGGGCAGCCCGGGGCACCTTCAGCTCCTGGTGGCCTCTCCTGGCCCCCGAGGACAGAGGTGGGAGCGGCTTTGGGAGCTGCAGGTGGGAACAGCCGGAGTCGGGATCCACATCCCTGAAACACCCAAAAATAAAGTTCTGGTCACACCGGGAACACAGAGCAGCAGAGGGCAACTTGGAGAGAAATTGAGATTTTTTTTTTTTATTTAGCACAGCCCAAGTGAGCTGAAGTTAACCAGAAATTGAGATATTATTATTATTATTATTATTATTATTATTATTATTATTATTATTATTATTATTATTATTATTATTTAGCACAGCTCAAGTGTGGCGAGGTTCATCAGAAATTGAGAATTTTTTTGTTTTTATTATTTAGCACAGCTCAAGTGAGATGAGTTTCATCAGAAATTGAGATTTTTTTTTATTTAGCATAGCTCAAGTGGGATGAAGTTAATCAGAAATTGAGAATTTTTATTATTATTATTTAGCACAGCTCAAGTGAGATGAGTTTCATCAGAAATTGAGATTATGTTTTGTTATTATTTAGCACAGCCCAAGTGAGGTGAGATTAATCATAAATTGAGATTTTTAAAAATTATTATTTAGTACAGCCCAAATGGGGTGAGTTTCATCAGAAATTGAGATTTTTTTTTTTTATTATTATTTAGCACAGCCCAATTTGGGTGAGTTTCATCAGAAATTGAGAAATTTTTTTATTATTATTTTGCATAGCCCAAGTGGGGTGACATTAATCAGAAATTGAGATTTTTTTAAATTTTTTTTTTAATTTAGCACAGCCCAAGTGGGATAAGGTTAACCCCCCTCCTTGTGGAATAGCTCCCAAAGTGAAGAATTTGTTTTAAAACAACTAAAACCCAACAATTCTGTTAAATTTTTTAAACTTCATTTCCAGGTTTAAACCCAAGAGAAGCAGCGAAATGAGAGAAACCCTTAATAGAATGCTGAGCTAAGAAGTTTTAGAGGTCTTTTCCCACCTTAATGATGCTCTAAATCTGTGATTCTGAAAAATTAAATTAATTAAAACCACGCAAACAACCGCTGAAATCAGTCAGGGCAATGAGACATCCAAACGACTTTAATTCCACCTGCACGCAGCCAGAGGCAAGGAATAATTTGAATTTCAGGATCCAAATTGATGCAGATCAGCCTGCAGGGTTGCCATAAATAAAAGAAGTTGGATTTTTGTGTGACACCGCCTCGAATTTTCTGCCAGGCTCAGGAAAACTGAGCAATATATTTCTGTTCAAATTAAAAATATGCAATAAGGAGATTAATCTTTTAATATTCACTGATGCCCCAGAAGGTTTTCAGTGCTGGAGGAAGTTTATTGCTATTTTTGGCAGCAGGTTTAGATATTTTTTGTAAGATTTTGATTTATTTTTTATTAAAATAGGTTTCTCTGGTCTCTACCAGTTCTGGTCACAGGCAGGTATTTCTGCTGGGTGAGGCAGAAATGATGAAATACTAAAATTACTGAATTTTTTTTCTCATTTCATGACAGGAAAAATGCCTGGATTTTTATATATTATATTACATTATATTATAATTATATTATATTATATTGTATTATATTATATTATGTAACATAATGTAACGTAACGTAACATAACATAATTAATACAATTGATATAATATACTATATACATATAATATTTTATATATAATATAATATAATATATAAACATATATTATACATAATCTATATAAAATTTTATATACATATATATATACATATATATATTTAATATTTTATATATAATATTTTATATATAATATATATAAAAATCTGCTTTGCACTGATAACTCTTTTCAACCAGAGGAATCAGGACCCAAATCCTCAATAAAAAATCCTAAATAAAATCCTAAATAAAACACTGCTCAGAACATTGATGCAGATAAAATCTGGTACTACAGCTTAAAAAAAATATAAAATCTTCCACTGTGGAAAATTTTAGCTGATCAAATTGTTATTTCCACGTGCTAAAAATACACAGAAACTTTTACCTGTATAATTCATGAATTTGGGCTTTTGAAATGATAATCTTTGTAAAATATTTGGTTTTGGTTGCTTCAGGTTTCCTGCAAAGCCCTGAGAGCAGAGTTTCCTGTTATTTCCCCAAATAAAAATTAAATTTAAATAAAAATTTAAAGAAATAAAATTTAAAATTAATCAGCTTTTATCAATTTGATTCTCTTCATTGGTTCCACAGAATGGTTTGGGTGGAAGGGACCTCAAAACTCCCGTGGGCAGGGACACCTAAATCAACAATGAAATTAGAATTAAATCAAGCATGAAATCTTGATTTAACTCTGAATTAATTCTTGATTTAACTCTTGATTTAATTCTGATTTCATTCTTGATTTAATTCTGATTTCAATGTTGATTTAACTCTTGATTTAATTCTCATTTCTTTCTTGATTTAATTCTGATTTCATTGTTGATTTAATTCTGATTTAAATATTGATTTAACTCTTGATTTAATTCTGATTTCATTCTTGATTTAATTCTGATTTCATTGTTGATTTAATTCTGATTTCATTGTTGATTTAATTCTGATTTAAATATTGATTTAACTCTTGATTTAATTCTCATTTCTTTCTTGATTTAATTCTGATTTAATTCTTGATTCAACTCTTGATTTAATTCTGATTTAACTCTTGATTTAACTCTTGATTTAATTCTGATTTCATTATTGATTTAATTCTGAATTAATTCTTGATTTAATTCTGATTTCATTCTTGATTTAATTCTTGATTTCCTGCATCCAGCAAAATATAGGGGATTTCTCCAAGATTAAACCTCTCTGGTAGGTGTTTAAAACTTGATTTAATTCTGAATTAATTCTTGATTTAATTCTGAATTAATTATTGATTTAATTCTGAATTAATTCTTGATTTAATTCTGAATTAATTCTGATTTAACTCTTGATTTAATTCTGATTTAATTCTTGATTTAATTCTTGATTTCATTCTGATTTAATTCTTGATTTAATTCTGAATTAACTCTTAATTTAATTCTGATTTAATTCTTGATTTAATTCTTGACTTAATTCTTGACTTAATTCTGATCTAATTATTTATTTAATTCTGAATTAATTATTGATTTAATTTTGATTTAATTCTGTTTTAATTCCCTCATTTTAAAATAATCTAAAATGAATGAATCAACTACTTAAAAAAAAACCCTTTTTATTTCAGTAAAGATTTGCAAAATGCATCTGCCTATAAGCTTGAAACATTGTTTTTTTAAAGATAATTTAATTCTGGAGGTTTTAATAATTTGCTTTTTTTCTCTTTTTAGACTCTGCCACTGGAATAATCCCCACCAGCACATCTGGAATGAGCTGAACTTTTCTGGTTTTTCTGCTGCTTTAAATTCCACCACTCTGATTTTTTTTTTTTCCACAGCAGGCAGGGAAAAAATTTGGATTATGAAGATTTACACCAGGGGGAAAGGCAGGAGAGCCACAAAAAATCAATTAAAGAAGATTTATTGAGATTTCTTGAGTTTTTAACCCATTTTTGGAGGATGAAGAGGAAGAAAGGCAGTCAAAATAAACTCTATTAAAAATAGTAAAAAAAAAATAAAATGAAGACTTGGAATCAGCTTTAAAAATCTTATTTAAATAGAGATAGCCACTGCAGAAAAATAGATTTAAATAGATATTTAAATAGAGATATCCAGTGCAGAAAAAAAAAAAAAAACCTGTGTTGACCTTCCAACACTAATTATTAGGGCTAAAAAATCACCTCAGGGACTGTGAGCTGCCAAAATAATGTTCTTTTTTCCTTCTCCCAGGGAAACTTGTAATAATTTCATCATTTTGGAGCAGTTCCGTGTGGCTGGGAGATTTTCAGCTGCACTCCCAAGCCAAAAACCAGGGAGGTTGTGATTTATTCGGAGGATTGGATCAAAAAAATGAAATTTCAATGTGAGATTTGCAACCCCTGATAGTTTCTGCTCATTCATCCCTCAGAGAGGTGGGAAAAAAACCCTAAAAAGAGGGGAAAAACCCTAAAAAATGAGGAAGAAATCCTAAAAAGTGAAGAAGAAGCCCTAAAAAGTGAGAAAAAACCCCCTAAAAAGTGGGGAAGAAACTCTAAAAAGTGAAAAAGAAACCCTAAAAAGTGGAGAAGAAACCCTAAAAATTGGGGAAGAAACTCTAAAAAATGAGGAAGAAACCTTAAAAAGTGGAGAAGAAACCCTAAAAAGTGGAGAAGAAACCCTAAAAAATGAGGACAAAATGCTAAAAAATGGGGAAGAAAACCAAAAAAGTGAGGAAGAAACCCTAAAAAGTGGGGAAAAAAAACCCTAAAAAGTGAAGAAGAAACCCTAAAAAATGAAGAAGAAACCCTAAAAAGTGAGGAAGAAACCCTAAAAATGAGGAAGGAACTCTAAAAAGTGAAAAAAAACCCCTAAAAAGTGGAGAGGAAACCCTAAAAATTGGGGAGGAAACCCTAAAAAATGGGGAAGAAACACTAAAAAATGGAGAAGGAACCCTAAAAAATGAGGAAGAAACCCTAAAAAATGGAAAAAAACCCCTAAAAAGTGAAGAAGAAACCCTAAAAAATGAAGAAGAAACCCTAAAAAGTGAGGAAGAAACCCTAAAAAGTGGAGAAGAAGCCCTAAATAATGAGGACAAAACCCTAAAAAATGAAGAAGAAACCCTAAAAAGTGAGGAAGAAAGCCTAAAAAATAGGAAGAAACCCTAAAAAGTGAAAAAGAAACCCTAAAAAGTGGAGAAGAAACCCTTAAAATTGGGGAAGAAACCCGAAAAAATGGGGAAGAAACCCTAAAAAATGAGGGGAAAAAACCCTAAAAAGTGAGGAAGAAACCCTAAAAAATAGGAAGAAACCTTAAAAAGTGAAAAAGAAACCCTAAAAAGTGACAAAGAAACCCTAAAAATTGGAGAAGAAACCCTAAAAAATGGGGAAGATAAAAAGTGGAGAAGAAACCCTAAAAAGTTGGGAAGAAACACTAAAAAATAGGAAGAAACCCCAAAAAGTGAAAAAGAAACCCTAAAAAGTGGAGAGGAAACCCTAAAAAATGAGGAAGAAACCCTAAAAAATGGAGAAGGAACCCTAAAAATGGAGAAGAAACCCTAAAAAATGGAGAAGACATCATAAAAAGTGGACAAAACCCCTAAAAAGTGAGGAAGAAACCCTAAAATGGCGTTTTGGAGTTGATTGCAAGGAATTAAATTGGAATTAAATTGGAATTAATTTGGAATTAAATTGGGATTATTCCAGGTTACCTGTGGAAAAGAATCCTCTGACGCGCTGCAGAGAAACGTCTTTGGAGTGAGGCTTCTTCCTGGGAAAGAAAATTAAAAATAATGACCAATTTTAAACAGAAATTTTAAATTATTTGTGGTGATTTTAATGTTTTGGATCCTCCTTTCTCCTGCTAAAATTCCAGGGGGATGCTTTTTTATTTCATCTTATTCTGTTAAATATAGAATTTTGACCTTTTTTTTTTTATTATTATTTTTTTAGCCCTGGGTCGATTGCAGGTTTAGAACCTCTCTGTTCTTACTTTTATAATTATAATAATTGTATAATTAATTACAGTCAGAGAAAACGAGGGCAGGAGGCTGCAGGGAATCCCAAAACTCACAGAAATTTCTTATTTTTTTATTTTTTATTTCAGTTCTCCTCGAGGTGAGGGGAGTGTGGTTACTCTGGTTACAGGACATTATTTGGGTGCCAAAATAATTTAAAATCCCAAATGTAACAGCTGAAAAATTTGGCTTTTGGGCTGCAGAAATATTTCTATTTTCCACATTTAATTTGGTCTAAAGAGGCGTCTGGGTTTCACCTTAAATGTTGACACATGTGTGGAAAAACAGAACGAAATAACAATGTGTATATATATTAAAAAATATATATTTTTATATGTATATATTAAAATATATTAAAAAGATTTATTATATATATTTATTATATATAAAAATCTATAATTATATGTATATATTTCTATACATTATATATTTATATAAATATATATCTATTTATTATATTTCTTTTATATGTATATATATAAAAAATATACGTACCTTGTTATTTCATTCTGGTTTTCCACACGTGTCAACAATATGTATATTGTGTCAAAAAAGATACATAATATATATATATTTAAAATATATAAAATATATATAAATATATATTATCTTATATAAATATAATATGATATGATATGATATGATAAAATATGATATAAGATAATATGATATAATATAATATGATATGATATGATATAATATGATATGACATAATATAATATAATATGATATGACATAATATAATATAATATAATATAATATAATATAATATAATATGATATGACATAATATAATATAATATAATATAATATAATATAATATAATATAATATAATATAATATAATATAATATAATATAATATAATATAATATAATATAATATAATATAATATAATATAATATAATATATAATATAGTATAATATATAATATAATATAATATAGTATAATATAGTATAATATAGTATAGTATAGTATTATATATAATATAGTATAATATAATATAATATAATATAATATAATATAATATAATATAATATAATATAATATAATATAATATAATATAATATAATATAATATAATATAATCCATTCCCAGGAGAACTGGGAAATGCTGTTGAAATCAGAACGGGACAGAGAACATTTTTTCCCTTAAAATTGAAAAAGTTTTGAGTGCAGCTCCTGGTTTGAGGTGCCAGGAGCTGCTCCTTACCACGGAGCCCGGGGGTGCAGTCAGCATTTCCAGGAGCTCCCTGGGGTAGGTTTGGGCAGAAGGTTCCAAAATGTCACCGGAGGACGGAGTCCGAGAGCGCCGAGGAGTTCCTTGGCCCGGGGATGACTTCTCCTCTGGGAAGAGCTGGTTCCTGGAACCTGGCGTGGGAAAGGCAATCCTCAATCAAAATATTCGGAATATAAACGGGAAGGAACATTTCCATTTTCATTTTCCATCCCTGGGAGCGGCCCAGGCCTGCCTGGATTGGGGTTTGGTGGTGGCTTTGTGTGGGAGAGGTTTTCCAGCCACTTCTGTGAGCCACAGAGAAGTTTGAGAAGAGGATCCATGTTTGATAAGGGGATCCATGTTTGATAAGAGGATCCATGTTTGTAAGTGGATCCATGTTTGATAAGGGGATCCATGTATGATAAGGGGATCCATGTTTGATAAGGGGATCCATGTTTGATTAGAGGATCCATGTTTGATAAGGGGATCCATGTTAGATAAGAGGATCCATCTTTGATAAGGGGATCCATGTTTGATAAGGGGATCCATGTGTGATAAGGGGATCCATGTTTGATTAGAGGATCCATGTTTGATTAGAGGATCCATGTTTGATTAGAGGATCCATGTTTGTAAGGGGATCAATGTGTGATAAGGGGATCCATGTGTGATAAGAGGCTCCATCTTTGATAAGGGGATCCATGTTTCATAAGAAGATCCATGTTTGATAAAAGGATCCATGTTTGATTAGAGGAGCCATGTTTGATAAGAGAATCCAAGTTTGATAAAAGGATCCATGTTTGATAAGAGGATCCATGTGTGATAAGAGAATCCATGTTTGATTAGAGGATCCATGTTTGATTAGAGGATCCATCTTTGATAAGGGGATCCATGTGTGATAAGAGGATCCATCTTTGATACGGGGATCCATGTTTCATAAGAAGATCCATGTTTGATAAGAGGATCCATGTTTTATAAGGGGATCCATGTGTGATAACGGGATCCATGTGTGATAAGGGGATCCATGTGTGATAAGGGGATCCATGCTTGATAAGAGGATCCATGTTTACTCCTGAAAGAATTTCCTACCAAGCTTGTTGGTGTAGAAACCAAGAAAAAAAGGATAAATAAGAGAAGCTGCAACTGCCTGTTCCGATGAGCCCTTTGTCTCTTGTGATCAATAAATGTAAATTATGATTTTTGTAAGAATGTATAAAGAGCATCCATGCATGAATAATAAAACCAGCTTGGAGCCTTCTGAAAATGGATAGCATTGCTTTGCATTGTGACCTTCTCAACTAGGACAGTTTTGGTTCGCTAATTTGGGATTTCCCCGCTAATGAGCGCTAATGACCGTCGTGTTCAGTGTTTGCTAATCACCAGTGCACTCACTACCATGTACTCACCTATTTCCTGCTGGGACTGGGAGAAAGGCAAAGCAGCCTGAAAAGTTTCAGAAGCTATAAAGAGACATTTATTAACATAACTAAAAGGAAAAAAAAAAAAAGTAATAAGAATCAAAACAAAAACTTTAGGATGCTTTTTCTCCCCTTACAACCTTTTCTTAATGACAAAGTAAAGAAATAAAACCTAAAATTTCTGTCATTTATTGTTCTCCAGTTTTTTTCATCTCTCACACGTGTTTTTCACAGAAGTGTACACAGCTTTTCAGTAATTAGATAATCGATATTGCTTCTGCAAATAAATTTTAAGTAATGTATGGAAGTAAATTCTGTAACTCCCATACAAAACCACCACAGGTTTGGAGAAACCTGGGATGGTGGAAGGTGTCCCTGCCCATGGCACTGGATGGGCTTTAAGGTCCCTCCACATAACTCAGTTTTTTAAAATCACAATTATTTTGAATAATTCAAATTATTTCAAAATTGAAAAAAAAAAAAATCCATGAACTGGGATTTATCCTGTGCATAAAATCACATCAAAATGTGAAATGAAGCCATAGAAATATCCTTATAAATATTGTTTGGTGTTCTTTCCTCTGAGGGCTTTGGTTTGCCAGGGAAGTTGTGGATTCCCCATCCCTGGAATAGTCCAAGGTGTCAGGGTTGGAACTGGATGGGCTTTAAATTCCCTCCCAACCCAAACCATCCAGGATTTTCATCGTTTCAAATCACTGGATGCCATGGATGAAAGCTGCCAATGGAAGTACAAAGCATTATCAGCTCCAAAAATTGTTCAACTTCTGCTATTAAAAGATTTTTAAAAGAATTTATCTATTTTCTCCTTGGATATTTTTTTTTTTTTTTTACTCTGTACACCAGCAAAAGATCTTGCCCAGCAGTTCATTAAAAAAAGAATTATAAACCTCTCATAATCTCCCACAAGCAATCTTCCCCCTCTCCAATCTCACTAAAAATCTCCCTTTTAAAGACAACCTTGGGGCAAGGTCTGGAAAATAAATTATTTCCCATAGTCCAGGAGAAGAGAGGAGCTCTAGAAATAAGAGAGTTGAACTTATTTAAACACCTATAAATGGGGCTCTGAGTGAATTTAATGGTGTGTAGTAAATTTAAAAGTTACTTTATGAGCAGCAGGATTGCCAAAAATCTTGCAGTGTTAATGAAGTTTCTGTAAGTGACAAGTGACTCTCTGGAAGAGGAATACAAAGTCCTTTAAAGGAGCTTCAGATACTTAAATCTATCTCCAAAAATACCAGGTTTATATAAAAATCTTTTATTTTTAATCCTCAGGCTTTCCCCTTCTTTTCTAATCATCTCTCTAGGGTTTGGTGGGGTTTGTTGCCTTTGAGACAAAATGTCCCCAGAGTTTTTAAAGCAAGAAAATACAATATTATAGCAAATAAGGCAAGGAAATCACCTTTTTTTTCATTTCAGATGAAGGTGGGAAGTTCTGGAAATTAAAATAAAATCTACTTAATTTAAAGCTAAATAAGATTTTTCAGCAAAGTCCTCAGTGCTGTAGCTCTGAGGAGCCACAATGTGTGCAGAAGCTTTTCCTGTGTCCGCTGGGAAATTAATATTATTCATTCTTCCATGATCCAAAATGACATGAAATTATGAACTGATGAATATTGCACTGTCCTTTATTAAAATTTCCAGACATTTTGCCCTTTTTTTCAGATGCTTTTATTTGCAGCCTTCCCCAGCTGTGGATATTGGCTCTGTGCTCCTGAGGGAATTGATTCTCCACCCTGCTCCAATGGATCTAAAATGGATCCAAACTATGGAAATTCCTGGAGTCAGAAGGAAAAATTCCTAAAAATTAGCTTATTTTTAATTAATCTTGCACATTCTTTTACCATAATATCCTTTTTGTTTATTTTTTTTTTTATTCCAGTAAAGTTCTTCTCCCTCTCTTTCCTTCCTGGGGTCAATTCTGTGGCTGCAGGATCAAGGAATTGATCTGTGTGAAAGTTTGGGAGAGTTTTGGGGTTTGTTTGTGTTGTGCTAATTTAGGAATTGACATAATTTAATAGATTTAATAAATTTAGGAAATCGTTTTTGGTTTGTTTTTGCTGTGTTAATTTAGGAATTGACATATTTAATAGATTTAATAAATCTATTTAATAAATCTGCGCCTGGATGATCCTTGTGGGTCCCTTCCCACTCAGGAATTCCATGGAATTCTGCCTGGAACCATTCCCTGACCCGAGTTACACAAGCAGGAATGAGAGCAGGCACTTGGATGAGCTGGAAGTGGCCATTCAGGGGTTAAAAGGCTTCTTTGAAACACACCACAGATGTTTGGGATCGGTGGCTCACCCCAAAACATGTGGAGTGGGGTTTTAAGTTGTCTTCTCATCTCATTATCCTGATTTTCCTGCTCCTTGGGCCATCCTGGGGAAGGGCAAAGGGAAGTCCCGGTGCCATCCCAGTTTTTTGTTGTGCCAGTTTGGGGGGCACAAAGTCCAGCCATGAGCACCCCTCACTTGGGATTTATCTGGAATGGGAGATCCAGAGCCCAAATCCATCCTCAGGATCAGCAAACACCATCCAGAGCCCAAAAAAGAGTCAGCAAATTCCATCCTGAGCCCAAATCCATCCTCAGAGGGGTCAGGAAACTCCATCTGAGCCAAAAATCATGCTCAGAAGAGCTGGAAACTCCATCTGAGCCCAAATCCATTCTCAGGAGAGCTGGAAACTCCATCTGAGCACAAAATCCTCCTCAGAGGAGTCAGGAAACTCCATCTGAGCTCAAAACTATTCTCAGAGGGGTCAGAGGGGTCAGGAAACTCCATCCAGAGTCCAAAAAAAGAGTCAGAAACTCATCCAGAGCCCAAAATCATCCTCAGAGGAGTCAGGAAACTCCATCTGAGCCCAAATCCATCCTCAAATGGGTCAGGAAACTCCATCTGAGCCCAAAAAAGAGTCAGGAAGCTCCATCCAGAGTGCAAAAAAAGCATCAGGAAACTCCATCTGAGCCCAAAAATGTCAGGAGAACATCCAGAGCCCAAAACCATCCTCAGGAGAGTCAGGAAACTCCATCTGAGCCCAAAATCATCCACAGAGGAATCAGGAAACTCCATCTAAGCCCAAAACCTTTCTCAGAGGGGTCAGGAAACTCCATCTGAGCCAGAAATAATGTTCAGAAGAGCTGGAAACTCCATCTGAGCTCAAAACCATCCTCAGAGGAGTCAGGAAACTCCATCTGAGCTCAAAACTATTCTCAGAGGGGTCAGGAAACTCCATCCAGAGTCCAAAAAAAGAGTCAGAAACTCATCCAGAGCCCAAAATCATCCTCAGAGGGGTCAGGAAACTCCATCTGAGCCCAAATCCATCCTCAGGAGAGCTGGAAACTCCATCTGAGCCCAAAAATGTCAGGAGAACATCCAGAGCCCAAAACCATCCTCAGGAGAGTTGGAAACTCCATCTGAACCCAGATCCATCCTCAGATGATTAAGCAAATTCCATCTGAGCCCAAAAAAAAGAGTCAGGAAACCATCCAGAGCCCAAAACCATCCTCAGGAGAGTTGGAAACTCCATCTGAGCCCAAAATCATCCACAGAGGAATCAGGAAACTCCATCTAAGCTCAAAACATTTCTCAGAGGGGTCAGAAAACTCCATCTGAGCCCAAATCCATCCTCAGGAGAGCTGGAAACTCCATCTGAGCCCAAAAATGTCAGGAGAACATCCCGAGCCCAAAACCATCCTCAGGAGAGTTGGAAACTCCATCTGAGCCCAAATCCATTCCCAGATGATTCAGCAAACTCCATCTGAGCCCAAAAAAAAGAGTCAGGAAACCATCCAGAGCCCAAAACCATCCTCAGGAGAGTTGGAAACTCCATCTGAGCCCAAAATCATCCTCTCCTGAAGGAATCAGCCCGGGAGAGCCATGGCAGAAGAGCTCGTGGATGTTTCAGGTCTCACGAGCTGCATCATTTCCAGATTTCAGTCAATTAATTAACAATAAATAGGACTTTTCTGCTGATAAAACCACTTTACCTGCCCCGCTCTTGGTGCCTTGAATGTCCAAAGAGTCAGGTGGCTCCAAGCCCAGGTAGACCTTGACAAGGTGAGTCAGCTCTGTGAATGCCTGCTCCAGCTCATCTGCAGAGAGGGAAATGCATTTCATGGCAGAGAGAAAAGAAACTGAATAAAAACCCAACTTTTCATCAGTGCAAAGACACAAATCACACGAATTTGACGCAGAAATACGTTTTTAACTTAGCCAGAAAATACAGAAATACTCGTTTGTCACAGAAATACATTTTTAACTTAGCCAGAAAATACAGAAATACATTGTTTGTCACAGAAATACATTTTTAATGTCTCTTGGGGAGAAATACCTTCATCTTCATAAACAGCACACTGAGAAAAAGCTGAAATTCAGGCTCTGCACTCTCCTAAATATTTCCCTATCGGTTTATTTCTTTAGGGCCATGTTTAAATTGCAAGCTCTGAGTGCCACATTTACAAATTTGCAATACTTACACCACGGTGCTGTAATTTAATGTGGGGAGCCCCAAAAAAACACCTCTACCAAAGGAATGAATGACAGAGGGATTCCTTCCAGAAAGGATTCTCCCACCTGCTGTTGGAACCCTGGATGCTGGGAATTTTAGATTTCTGTGCTGCCAGGAGAACACTGCACTGACCTGAGGCTGTGGAGAAGCTTCCAAAATTCAAAAATAAAACTGAGATTACAGGTGTGGAGTTTGAATAGAAGTGTGTGATATCACAGTGGGAAACTCAGAATTTAAGGGTTTAGAATGCAGGAATAGATATAAAATAAGATGGAGGTTTTGGGGCAGAGGCTGGTCCTTCTTCTTCACCTCCATGTGTTTGGGTGGTTTTGTGTAATTGGATAAAAAATCCACATTGAGGGGCGTGAGTGTTGGTTATTGGGTTAAAATGAAAATAATTGAGGTGTCATTTCTTAATTAGTTTATTCTTAAAAGGCCTTGTAGAGAGAGAAGTGGGGCTCCATTTTTAGTTTGTTAGAGTAGAACTTGGGTTTTATGAGACTCTAACAGAGATAAGAACTAATAAACATGTGAGTCCAAACAAGAAATATCATCTCACACATTTAATCCCAACCCTGGCAAAAAAGAAGATAAAAACTCCACAACCTGCTGCCCCTCAATTCCTAATTATCCCAAAGGAAATCAGCAATGAACTTCTTGGAAGCTGCTGAGAATTCCAGACTTTCTGTGCTGCCAGGCACTGCCCCCAGGAGAACACTGCACTGACCTGAGGCTGTGGAGAAGCTTCCAGAATGGAATGGCAGCACTGGGATTGTGGGTTTGGAGTTTGGATAGAAGTGTGTGATACCACAGGGTGGGAAAATTCAGAGTTTAAGGGTTTAGAATACAATAATACCTATAAAACAAGATGGAGGTTTTAGGGTGGTGGCTGGTCTTTCTTCTTCTCCATTGGGTTTGGATGTTTTTGTGTAATTGGATAAAAAAAGTCCACATTGAGGGGCGTGAGTGGTTGGTTATTGGGTTAAAGTGAAAACAATTGAGGCGTCATTTCGTAATTAGTTTACTCTTAAAAGGCCTTGTAGAGAGAGAAATGGGGCTCCATTTTTAGTGTGTTAGAGTAGAACTCAAAATTTTTGAGACTGTAACATAGATAAGAACTAATAAACATCTGAGTCCAAACAAGAAATATCACCTCACACATTTAATTCCAACCTTGGCAAAAAAGAAGATAAAAACTCCACAACCTGCTGCCCCTCAATTCCTAATTATCCCAAAGGAAATCAGCCATGAACTTCTTGGAAGCTGCTGAGAATTCCAGACTTTCTGTGCTGCCAGGCACTGCCCCCAGGAGAACTCTGCACTGACCTGAGGCTGTGGAGAAGCTTCCAGAATGGAATGGCAGCACTGGGATTGTGGGTTTGGAGTTTGGATAGAAGTGTGTGATATCACAGGGTGGGAAACTCAGAGTTTAAGGGTTTAGAATACAGGAATAGATATAAAACAAGATGGAGGTTTTAGGGTGGTGGCTGGTCCTTCTTCTTCTCCATGGGTTTGGGTGGTTTTGTGTAATTGGATAAAAAATCCACATTGAGGGGCATGAGTGGTTGGTTATTAGGTTAAAAGTAGAAATAATTTATGTGTCATTTCTTAATTAGTTTACCCTTTAAAGGCCTTGTAGAGAGAAATGGGGCTCCATTTTTAGTTTATTAGAGTAGAACTCAAAATTTTCGAGACTGTAACATAGATAAGAACTAATAAACATCTGAGTCCAAACAAGAAATATCACCTCACACATTTAATCCCAACCCTGGCAAAAAGAAGATAAAAACTCCACAACCTGCTGCCCCTCAATTCCTAATTATCCCAAAGGAAATCAGCCATGAACTCACCCGTGTAGATGACAGCATGGAAGTACCCCGGGAAATCCTGATTTATTTGGAGGTACGTGTCCACTCTGGCCACCGCCTCTCTGATCTCTGCCCTGCTGAACAATCCTGTCCTCCTCAGGTGCTCCCCATATTTCCATTTATCCTTGGGGACCAACAGCACATACCTGGGTTTGAAGTAGGTGTTTTTCAAGCTACGGACGCCCTTGAAAATAAAGCAGAAAATTAAAAAAAAGTGTTTTTTTTTTTTTTTTTGGTGAGACTGTTTGCGGAATTTCAAGTTTTTTTCTCTTGAAAATAAAGCGAAAAAACAGGGTTTTTATTCTTTAAGTTGGGTGTTTTTAAGTTGGAGCTGAGTTTTTTCTCCCTGAAAAACAAGAAAAAAACGTGGTTTTACTCTTGAAATTTAGTGTTTGTTAAATTTGGAGCTGAGTTTTTTCTCCCTGAAAAACAAGATTAAAAATGTGGGTTTTTTTCTTGAAATTGTTTGTCGAACAAGGAGCCCAGCTTTTTCTCCTTTAAAATGAGAAAACAGTGGGTTGTTTTTCTTGAAACTGAGTGTGGAATTTGGAGCTCAGTTTTTTCTCCTTGACAATAAAGCAGAAATAAATAGTGTTGTTTTTTTTTCTTGAAATTGAGTGTTTGTGGAATTTGGAGTTCAGCTTTTTCTCCTAGAAAACAAGGCAGAAAAAACCCAGTGTTTTTATTGTTGAAGTTGAGTGTTTGTTAAATTTGGAGCTGAATTTTTTTCTCCCTGAAAAACAAGACCAAAAAATGTATTTTTTTTCTTGAAATGGAGTGTTTGTTGAACAAGGAACCCAGTTTTTTCTCCTTGAAAATAAAGCAAAAAAAACCAAGTGTTTTTTTCTTGAAACTGAGTGTTTGTGGAATTTGGAGCTCAGTTTTTTCTCCTTGACAATAAAGCAGAAATAAATAGCGTTTTTTTGTTTTTTTTTTTTTTTTTTCTTGAAATTGAGTGTTTGTGGAATTTGGAGTTCAGCTTTTTCTCCTTGAAAATAAAGCAGAAAAAACCCATTGTTTTTATTGTTGAAACTGAATATTTGTTAAATTTCGAGCCGAGTTTTTTCTCCCTGAAAAACAAGACCAAAAAGGTGTTTTTTCATGAAATCGAGTGTTTATCAAACAAGGAGCCCAGTGTTTTCTCCTTGAAAGTAAAGCAGAGAAAACACAGGGGTTTATTGATGAAATTGAGTGTTTGTTGAACTTGGAGCAGAGTTTTTTCTCCTTGAAAATAAAGCACAGAAAACAGTGTTGTTTTGGTTTTTTTTTCTTGAAATTGAGTGTTTGTCAAACTTGTAGCTGAGTTTTTTCTCCTTGAAAATAAACCAGAATAAAACCATAGGGGTTTATTATTGAAACTGAGTGTTTGTTGAACTTGTAGCTGAGTTGTTGTTTTTTTCCCCTCTGGGTTTTTATCCCAAATTATTGGCTGCAAATTGCTCTGCAGGCATTGGTGGCTAGCAGAGAAAAGGGGAAACATCACAAACATTTAATTTAATTTAATTTAAAACAGAACTGAGTATCAGACTTGCAGAAGCCACTGATTGCTAGTGCAGGTTCAGCAAGATTTGAACTTTTAAAATTGGTGTCATTCTCCTTTATCAGCCCAAGATACACTCCAGATTAAAGGGAATGAACAGCTCTTAATTTCCAATCTCAGCCCACGGCCCATAATTAAAATTTCCTTTAATGCTGCTAAATCACTTTTGTTCTGAGCCCTGTGGCAAATAAAGGACTCAGCACCTTCCATCCCCACCCATAACTCACAATTATTGTTTTCAGATATAAAACTCGCTGTGGGATGAGTTTTTTATGTGACAGTGGCTAAAAATTAACCAAAACCATGGAAAAGAGCTTGCAAATGGCAGGAAGGGGTGAAACGTAAATTTTAAGGAATTTAGAGATTTTAGAGGCGCTAAGATTTGAGTTAGAGATAAGCCTTACTAGAGTTAATTAAAATAAATGAGTAGGCCTTGATGAAGTTAGGAGTTAGTAGTTAACTAATAATTGATTGCTTGTCAGCACAATGTTTAGTTAGCTGGGTTTATAATGAAGAATATAATGAAGAAATTATAATGAAGAACAGAGAAACTGCCAAATAGATTTTAGGAACATAAAACAATCGTGGGCCTCCTCTGTTCTGAAACCAACTGAAGACAAGGAATGGGAGTTCTACCAAGAGTTCATTTGTCATATTTGCATTGAAAAGGCAGAAAGGTCAGAACGAGGAAGACTTCATTGACTTCCTCATTTTGGGACCCCCTCATGGAAGGGACACTGACCCATTTCAAGGGACAAAAAATGATTAGCATACGAAATGATTAGCATATGAAGTGAGGAATGGGATGTACCAAAATGATGAATATGGATTTGTATTTTGGGTATTCAATACTTGGATGGATAAAAAAAACTCTGTAATCACCTGGAAGGTGCGGTGTGGATTTGGGAATAGGATGTACCAAAATTATGGATATGGATTTGTATTTTGGGTATTCAATACTTGTATGGATAAAAAAACTCTGTAATCACCTGAGAGGCGCAGTGTGGATTTGGGAATGGGATGTACCAACATGATGAATATGTATTTATATTTGGGTATTCAATATTTGGATGGATAAAAGGGCTCTGTAATCATTTGGAAGCTGTGGCGTGGATTTGGGAGCTGTCCCACACACAATAAACACACACTTTCTAACTTTAAACTGTTAGAGAGTTTTTGTCCCTCACAGTTGTATATCGGTACTAGATCAATATCCATATTTTTTTAATAAATCACGTTCTAACTTTAAACTGTTAAAGAGTTTTTATCCATCACAGTTGGATCAATACTAGATCAATATCCATATTTTTTAAATAAATCGTCCCCTGGCACACTCTGAGGCCGTTCCCTTTGTCCTGTCCCAAATCCCATGCAGAAATGTCCCAGGCAGGTGATGCTCACCTCTATTTCCAGGTGGACACAGGTAGCCAGCCCCTCCCTGGCTATGGACTCCACCGTGTCTCTTCCCAGCCCATAGCTGTGGCCGCTGTATTTGTAGGTTGCCAGAAATTTCCCCTGAAATTCAGAACAAGAATAATACCAAGGGAAATATTCCAAGTGGAACAACGTCCTCAAATGAGTGAAACACTTTGGATTTCCCTGATTTCTCTCCCTACAAAGTTTCTTCCTGTTTCAATCGGCGTTAATGAGGGCACTGAGAGCCCAAAATCAGCAGAAAAAAAATAAGTTCCCATATCTGGGCTTGTGCCTTGTCCATGGATAATCAAATTCCAAAATCCTGGGAACAAAGAGCTGACAGCATTCCTGAGTTATTCCTTCCCAACTGGAAAGGAAAACCCAAAGCAAGGGGCTTCATTCTGGTGAATTTATAGAAAAAAAAATGGGAAATTTCAAGGAAAAGGAAGAACTGCAACTGGAGTTGGCTGAGGCATTTCAAATTCTGCAGCCCTGGAGAGATGGAAGCAGATTTATTTGATGTTTTTAAAATTGAACTCCTTGATTATTGTTATCATGAAGGGCCAGCTCAGTTGTTTCAGGCTCTGCTGGCTTCCCCCTTTGGTATAAATACAAATAATGGGCTCTGTTGTGGCTTTTCAAGGCAAAGTTTTGTTGCAGAAGGCATCAAAAAGAGCAGCTGGAGGCAGAAATCCTTCAGAGAAAACTCCCTCCTTTAGGGGGGATTTGCTAAACTTCCAAGGAATTCCCTGCTGGGTTGCTGGAAAATGTTGAAAAAATAAAACCAATAAACCCCATGCTATATTTGTGCCTGAAAATAAGTTTATTTCTATGTTATACTATTATTTAAATATTCCCCACAGGCCATTTTGCCTATCTGGTGGTTTCTATAAATTCATTTACAGGAGAAAAGACAGCACGAATCTACAAGAAATTGGTGATTTCTGTCTATAAACTTAAAAACACAGCTGAGAGTGAATAAACATTGACACCCAGGCACAAAGCTAATATAAAAAATAAAATAAATCAGGCTGGACAGAGAAGCTGAGTTCACTATGGGAGAAGGAAAAAAGCTACAAGGACAGGAGTCAGGTACTTACAGCTTCCACCATTTTGTCAAATTCTTCTTGAGAAATGAAATAATAATCGAATCTGTTTTCTTCCCCAAAATAAGCTGTCCTGGTGGTGTGACAGGGCCTGGGAAGAATAAAGAAATAACTAATAATTTATGGCAGAATAAAGAAATAACTTGTTTTCAATCCCTGCAGCAGCTCTGCAATAGCAGTGAGAGGGGGGGAAAGCAGGGAAACGATAAATAATTTTATTTTTAAGCAGCAAAGAAATACGAGAAATAGAAAGAGGTGCAAATCACACCCCTAAATGCTGCGTGTTTGAAAGATTAACCCATAAATACACCAAAAAAAGTTAAATGTAACATGGTATTTTGGCTATAAATCCCTCCCCAGCCCAGGATGGCCTGAGCTGAAGCTGTCACAGCAGCCTGGCACTGAGAAATGATGAACCCATTTTTTTTCCCAATTCTGTCAGCTTGGGGATGATAGAAAGTCAAATCCTAAATGTGGAAAAGGAGCTGGGCTGAGCTGTGAGGTTAAGAAAGAGCTCCAAAGTCCAATTTTTAAACAGATGTCTAATGGGAAGGGGAGAAACAATCCTGAAAGTGGGGAGGAAAGTGGGATAAAAGGCAGGGAAAGTAAAAACTTCAGCTACCTCAGCTTCAAACTAGGATAAAACACTAAAATCCCACTAAAAAATCCCCCCCAAAACCCCAAAACACAGCTAATTAATGCAGGTAACAATTTGAGACTCAAGTATTCGCTGGCTCTTGTTCTGTTTGAAAATCAGATTTTTCTCCTCGTTTCTGCTTTGCCACTAAAGTGGAAAAAAAGGTGGGAAAGGAATTCCCTGCCATCCCATAAGGATAAACATCAGCCACCAGGGTAAAACAACAAAAGCCCACTAAAAACCCACTAAAATCCCCAAAAATTAGGTTATTAATGCTAATTTAATACTGAAGCATTCTGTGGGTCTGGTTCTGTTTGGAAATCAGATTTTTTTCCTCGTTTCTGCTTTGCCATTCAAGTGGGAATAAAGGCTGGGAAAGGAATTCCCTGCCATCCCATAAGGATAAACATCAGCCACCAGGGTAAAACATTAAAAAGCCACTAAAAACCCACTAAAAACCTCCAAAAATCAGATTATTAATGCAGGTGGTAATTTAATACTGCAGTATTCCGTGGGTCTGGTTCTGTTTGAAAATCAGATTTTTCTCCTCATTTCTGCTTTGCCATTCAAGTGGAATAAAAGGCAGGAAAAGAATTCCCTGCCATCCCATAAGGATAAATATCAGCCACCAGGGTAAAACACCATAAACCCACTAAAAAATCCCCCCCAAAACCCCAAAACCCTCAGTTAATTAATGCAGGTAGCAATTTGAGACTCAAGCATTTGCTGGCTCTTGTTCTGTTTGAAATTCAGATTTTTCTCCTCGATTCTGCTTTGCCATCAAGTGGGAATAAAGGCTGGGAAAGGAATTCCCTGCCATCCCATAAGGATAAATATCAACCACCAGGGTAAAACATTAAAAACCCACAAAAAACCCCCAAAAATCAGATTATTAATGCAGGTGGTAATTTAATACTGCAGTATTCAGTGGGTCTGGTTCTGTTCGAAAATCAGATTTTTCTCTTCATTTCTGCTTTGCCATTCAAGTGGGAATAAAGGCTGGGAAAGGAATTCCCTGCCATCCCATAAGGATAAACCTCAGCCACCAGGGTAAAACACCAAAAACCCACTAAAAAATCCCTAAAAAAACCCCAAAACCCACAGTTAATTAATTCAGATAACAATTTGAGACTCAGGTATTTGCTGGCTCTTGTTCTCTTTGAAAATCAGATTTTTCTCCTCGTTTCTGCTTTGCCATCAAGTGGGATAAAAGGCAGGGAAAGGAATTCCCTGCCATCCCATAAGGATAAACCTCAGCCACCAGGGTAAAACATTAAAAACCCACTAAAAACCCACTAAAACCCCCAAAAATCAGATTATTAATGCAGGTGGTAATTTATTACTGCAGTATTCCGTGGGTCTGGTTCTGTTTGAAAAATCAGATTTTTCTCCTTGTTTCTGCTTTGCCATTCAAATGGGAATAAAGTCTGGGAAAGGAATTCCCTGCCATCCCATAAGGATAAATATCAGCCACCAGGGTAAAACACTAAAAACCCACTCAAAAATCCCAAAAAAACCCCAGTTAATTAATGCAGGTAACAATTTGAGACTCAAGTATTCACTGGCTCTTGTTCTGTTTGAAAATCAGATTTTTTCCCCCCTCGTTTCTGCTTTGCCATTCAAGTGGGAATAAAGGCTGGGAAAGAATTCCCTGCCATCCCATAAGGATAAACATCAGCCACTACGGCAAAACACTAAAAACCCACTCAAAAATCCCCAAAAACCAGATTATTAATGCAGGTGGTAATTTAATACTGCAGTATTCAGTGGGCCTGGTTCTGTTTGAAAATCAGATTTTTCTCCTCATTTCTACTTTGCCATTTCTCTCATTTATTCCAGGGAGCTGGGCTGGGAACCAGTCAGAAATTCAAAAATTCAGTGTCAGCATCAGGGGTTGGCATTTTTTTTTCCCCCAAAAAAAATGAGAGCAGCGAGTTTCACACAGGCTCTGTAAAATTCCTGATTTTTTTTTTGGGATAACACCAAACACACCCAGCTCCAAAGGGCACTGCTGAGCACCAGCTCAGATGGTTGGAGGGGCCAATTTAATTTGATTTCCTGTAATTTTTACACATTTCAGCCCTTTTTAATTGCAGGGCCATGTTTACATTCAGACTGCCAGAGTATCTTGCATAAAATCCATTTTTAATGAGCAGAATGGTTAAAATTTCCAGGCAGAAAATTGCTCAAATCTCCCCTGAATAATTAAAAATACAACTTTGCTTTATGGTTGCAATTTTCTGCACTGTTAAGGTTTTTTCTATTCCTTTTTTTTTTATTTTCCCCCTCATTCATGGGAGTTGTAGGGAATAAAACACACAATGAAAAAATGCTCTTAAAAAAAACAAACAAAAAAAACCCAAAAAACCAAAAATTACCCTCACAGAATGTTTGGAAAATCACAAATGGAGTTGAATTTATAATTTCTAAGATATGAGTTTAAAGAAAAGGGATAAAAAAGGAATTTTTACAGTGGCATAACAGATTTTTCCCTTAAAATAGAAAATGAATGGATAAATTAGTGCCATAAATAAATGAGGAAAAAAGGAAATCAGAGCAGGTTTTTGAGTTTTGATTTCTTAATTTGTTGGTTGTGGTGTTTTGTTTGTTTGGGATTTTTTGAGATTTTTTTTTTTAGGATTTATTGTGGTTTTTGGTTCTTTTTGGTTTTTTGGTTTTGGTGGGGTTCTTTTTTTGTGTTTTTGGGGGGATTTGGTTTTTTTGTTTGTTTTGGTTTGTAGTTGGTTTTGGTTGTGGTTTTTTTGGGTTTTTTTTGCAGGTTTGGGTGGTTTTTTTGTTTTGGTCTGTGTTTTTTTTTTAAATTGTGTTTTTTTGTTTGGTTGGCTTTTTCTGTTTTGGTTTCTGTTTTTTTATGTTTGTTTTAGTTTTTGGTTGTATGTTTTGGTTTGTGATTTTAATTTGTTTATTTGGTTTTAGGTTACTCATTTTATGTTTTGATTTGTGTTTTAATATATTTGGTTTGTTTTCTGTTCACTTTTGAAAATACTTTGATAATTTAAACACCTTTTCTCTCATTAATAACTTCAGCCAGCCAAGCTTTGTGAAGAGACAAAAACACACCAAAATTCTTCATTTTTAACTTCTTTACCAAAAAACCCCACAAACCAAACCAGCAGCAATTCCAACCTTGATCCTTTGGTGGTTTTTTTGATCTCAGGGAGCAAAACTTACCCAAATCTGAAGAAATTCTTGAATTGTCTGCAGATTTTGAGAGAAAGTTGCCTCCTCCCACCGGCCACAGGGCCCAGTAACACCAGCATGGGGTAGGGCTCATCAAAACCAGGCAAAGTGCTGCAAAAAAAGAAAACCAGAGGCCGTTAAATCACCTAAAAATCAAATTTCAGTCAAAGCTTGGCAGAGATTTTATCACCCCTTCAACTCATCTCACCTTATTCACAATGTGGACAAAAATTGAGGTGTTCTGAGTGTAAAAATAGCAGAAAAATCTGCATTAAATGAAATTACTTTTGTTTTTCAAAAGGAATAATGTTATTTTTACTCTGATCTCACCTGATTTTCAGCCTTTTCTAAAGGTTTTTTATCCAGAGGTGGGAATATTTTAATGAGAGGATAACTGGAATAAACCTGGAATAAACTCAATCCTACAGATTTTTCAACTCTCCTGCATGACTTCCTTGACTTCCATGTCCTGTGTTGGGCAAAGGTGTAAAAATTCTTCAATTAAATAGAAAAAACCCACTCAGATCCTTAAAACTTCACCGAACACAAAAACATAATAAAAAGACCCAAAGCACTGCAAATATATGAAAATTTTCCATGCTGAGCTGAGAATTAAATCCTCAGGTTTTCCACTTCTAGCTGTAAGTGGGAGAATGAAGTAAAAATAGAATTTTAAATTAATTTTACAGTTTTTAAAATTAATTTTTAAATCTCAGGTAGATTTCAAGATTGGGTCACTTGGAAATGTGGCAGGAATAACAGAAATAATTCCAAACTCGGTGATTTTTAATTAATAAGTAGTTTTAACTGAATTTGAAATGAAAGAAAACTGCCTCTGTGTCCATTTGATAGGATTTAAAACAGGTGAACAAAGACACCTGAAAAGAGAATATATTTACAATATAATATATATTTCTATATTATTTATTATATAGTTATATCTTATAATATATTCTAAAAAGAGAATATATTTATTTTAGCATCCCTCTCACAAACAACTCATTCTTTAGGAAATAAGGACAACATTCCAATATACGCAAGGAGGAAAAAAAATTCCAAAATCGTGGCTTTATCCCTATTTTAGGAGCAGCAAAGCAGCTCAGTTACCTACCAGAATATATGGATATAATTAGCACAAAAAGCTGATTAGCACAATACCTTAAAATCCTGCAGAAGGTAAAAATGCACGTTAAAAATCCATTCTAAAAGAATTTTTTCAAAGAAAAAAGCTGGAGTGAGTAAGGGTTCAAAATTGGTCAGGATGTTGCATAAAAGGAGTTTGGTTTTTTTAGTTTTTTGTTTTGTTTTGTTTGATTGTTTGTTTTGGTGGGGTTTTGTTTGTTTGTTTTGGGTTTTTGTTTTGTTTTTTTTTTTTCTGAAGTTATTTCTTTTTGTGAATAATCCTGGCAAGGCAGGGCTGGGAAAAGAGAACTTTTGTTTTCCGCATAAAATCATGGAACGGGGTGGGTGGGATGGGAATTTAAAGCCCATCTCATTCCAAACCTTCCCAACATTTCCCACCATCCCAGGGGGCCCCAAGCTCCATCCAGCCTGGACAATTCCAGGGATGGGGAATTTTTTGGGAATCCTATGACAAGGCCTCCCCAATCCTAAAAATAAAGAATTTTTTCCTTCTCCCAGCACAGGACCTGATCCAGGCTTGGAAAATGCAGAATTCCTCGGGCATCTTTCCTTCTGTGAGGAAATGTTACACCAAATAAATCATCCCTTGATCAGATCATGCTTAAAATTCAAATTCTCTTCAATAAATTCCCATTTCCCTGTGTCCTTACATTCCTGGGATTTATTATTTCATCAGGAGAACATTTCCATAATCCTGTCCTTCATCACATTGAGAATTCCTTGGTTCTCAACACAAAAACTTTGTGGGTTCCTACGGCTTGGAAGAAGATTCTGGAAAAGTTTTGGGCTCGTTATTCAACTTTCTTTTTCTTTGTGGGCACTGCTGTGAAAAATTAATAAGTTTTAACACCAGAAGGGATTATTTGGATGATCTGAACCATCCTCCTCCTCTTTCCACTTGGAATTTCTCAAGTTGGTTCCTGTTTCAGGCTTGAAAAATGCAAAATTCCTCTGGAACCTTTCCTTCCACAAGGATGTGTTACACCCAATAACATCCCAATGAATCGTAACTCCACAAGATCACGCTTAAAATTCAAATTAATGCCCAATTCTCTGTGTCCTCACACTCCTGGGATTTAGGATTTCATCAGGAGAACATTTCCATAATCCTGTCCTTCATCACACCACCACTTCTTGGTTCTCAACACTGAAAGTTTTGGGGCTCCTACAGCTTGTGAGAAGATTCTGGAAAAGGTTTCGGCTCATAATTCAAATGTCTTTGTCTTTGTGGGCACTGCTGTGAAAGATTATTAATTTTAATGCCAGAAGGGATTATTTTGATGATCTAAATCACGCTCCCCTCATCCCATTTGGAATTCCCCAAGTATCAGGCTGGAATTCCCGTTTCCAGCCCGATCCCTGGGGTTCCATGAGATTCCATTTGAATTAAAAACCTTCCAGTTGTGGAGAACTTTTGGTAAATTGTTCTAATGATTAATTCTTTTAATTGTCAAAAAAGAATCATGCTCTGGTCCTTCTCTGATTGGGTTCCTCCTCAACAGCCAGGCACCAAAAATCATCCTGACCTAGCCCAACAAACTGGAGATTAAATTAAATTTCTGTTTCCATGTTGCTGTTGTCACTCTGAACAACATTTTCAAATGCCACCTGCATCTCTAGGAGGGGAAAATACCCATAATATTCACTTGTGTGTTACCACATAATCACAGATAAAATCACAAATTGAGTGAGTTAAGAAAAGAATAGGAAATTCAATGTTTTGTGCCTGCAGGACAGGCAAGAATAAAACTTTTTGCTTTGTTTTCAGGTTTTATTTGCAATAATAAAGATATCACTAACCCAGAATTAATTATAACCTGATGGAGAAAGAGAGATGCAAATGGACTCCCCCAATCTGGTTCCAAAAAGCATTTTAGGGTGAAAAGGGCAATAATCATTAGGATGATTTAATTAATGACTCTGGAGTGCTTTCCAGCTGAGCACCAGCCAACACATCATTAACAATTTTTGGGGCAGTCCCACAAAGGCTGGGCTGATGCTTTTGTGTTTGTGTGCACGATTCCTCTGGCAGAAGGCAAAATTCCTTCTTTCCATCAATCCAAAATTCACTAACCAAATATTTAAACACAGCCCTGGAAAAAAAAATCTGTGCCTTTAGGGGGTTTTTTTGTGTTTTTTTGTGGTTTTTTTTGTTTTTTTGGTTTTTTTTTTAAGAAGAAAAATAAGCCAATGTTGTGTTTTTATTTTAAGAAATCTCCATCCTCACATAAATAAATAAATCTTAGGGATTTTGTTTTTAAAAGTATTCACAGAGCTGTTGTCACTACCGGGAAGGCTCCTGTTTGTTGTGGATGATCCCAGAAAACACAGTCACAATAAAAATACAAATTTCTGAGTTACTAAATCCTGGATTTTTCCATCAGGTTACTCAGTTGTGAATTAATTCAGCAGCAAAATGGGGTGTGGGGTACAACGGTTGATCTCAGTGCCCACTGCAGAAAAATCATCATCATCATTATTATTATTATTAATAATAATAATAATAATAATTCACACATATTTATCATGTATTCCACCAGATTATGTGGAAGAATTTTCCTAGAATTCCTCAAATATCATAACAAAGCTGCAGAGCAGCAAAAATTCCATTTTTCACAGGAGAAACGAGACTGGGAGAAGTCACCTGGGAATGGTGAGACTGGAAAAAGAGCATCCACCTGCCTCTCCCTTCCGTGCTTTTCATGGAATCATCTCCTCCTTCCAGGAAAACATGGAAATTTCCCTTTATGAACACAAAATGCGCCCCAAAACCCCCAAATAAAATCGTTTTATCCTGACAGGATGCCAGCAGCGGGGAGAGAAGGCGTGGGTAAAAGGGGAAGAAGAAGTTTTGCAGATCTCTGCTTTCTCCAGGGATATTTCCTTTATTTTTTTTTTTTGGCACGGGGAGGAATTTTGCGTCTCCCATTCGTGGTGCAAATGCCCATCTGCTCCAACAGATTGAGGAAAGGGAGCGGAGCCGTGGACAATCTGTCTCAGAGTTTAGAGGTGAATGAAGAGCTTTGTTTCATCATCAATTTGAACCAAATCAGATTTGCCTCGTTTCCAGGCTGCTGGCAGGATCCAGCAGGAGTTCTCCTCGGGAAAAATGTCCCTGTGGATGTGACAAAATTCTGCTTGACTCGAGTGGCACCATCAGGAGCAGCTGTGAAATGAACTCACCTGTCCAGGAGGCCCTGGGGCTGCCGGGCGTTGCACAAAAGATGAGTCCTGTGATCTTCAGCAGCCACAACTTCTGGAGGAGGGTCCTTTGCATTCACAGCAGCCACCTGTGCCCAAAATTTAGAGGGGGGGAAAAAAGAAGGGGAGGAGTGATGGAGTTGTTTCCAGGTGGAAAACTCTTGGATGGATGGATGGATGGATGGATGATGGATGGATGATGGATGGATGGATGGATGGATGATGGATGGATGATGGATGGATGATGGATGGATGATGGATGGATGGATGGATGGATGGATGATGAATGGATGATGGATGGATGATGGATGGATGGATGGATGGATGATGGATGGATGATGGATGGATGGATGGATGATGGATGGATGGATGATGGATGGATGGATGGATGGATGACGGATGGATGGATGATGGATGGATGATGGATGGATGATGGATGGATGATGGATGGATGATGGATGATGGATGGATGATGGATGGATGGATGATGGATGGATGATGAATGGATGATGAATGGATGATGAATGGATGATGAATGGATGATGAATGGATGATGGATGGATGGATGGATGGATGATGGATGGATGGATGATGGACGGATGGATGGATGGATGGATGGATGGATGGATGGATGGATGGATGGACGAATGGATGATGGACGGATGGATGGATGGATGGATGAATGGATGGATGAATGGATGGATGATGGATGGATGATGGATGGATGGATGGATGACGGATGGATGGATGGATGGATGGATGGATGGATGACAAATTTTGGAATTACTAAATCCTGGATTTTTCTATCAGGTTACTCAGTTGTGAATTAATTCAGCACCAAAATGGGGTGTGGGGTACAAAGGTTGATCTCAGTGCCTGCTGGAGTCAATATAGTAAAAATAATAATAATAATCCACATATATTTATAGTGTATTCCACCAGATTATGTGGAAGAATTTTCCTAGAATTTCTCAAATATCATAACAAAGCTGCAGAGCAGCAAAAATTCCATTTTTCACAGGAGAAACGAGACTTGGAGAAGTCACCTGGAAATGGTGAGACTGGAAAAAGAGCATCCACCTGCCTCTCCCTTCCATGCTTTTCATGGAATCATCTCCTCCTTCCAGTAAAACATGGAAATTTCCCTTTATGAATACAAAATGTGCCCCAAACAGCACATGCTGCAACCAAATTCCAGTTCAGACACCACAGCAGGTAAAAGTTTCCAACCCAACAGAATTTCTGTCAAGCAGGACTCTGGGGGAAGAGGCTTGCTACAACTGCAAGCCCAGGTTTTGTATTATTTATTTCGAAAACTTCCAGAATGAAATGATGTTTTCTTACCTTTTCTTCCACTGAAACCTTTTTGAGATCCAGTTCTGTGACTTGGAGCAACATGAAAATCGCAGACAGCCAATAACCCTCTTTTTCCTGAGAGAAAAAGTTTCCATTTTGAGGAAAAAGACTTAATTTCATCCAGCCAATATTTAATTCCAATCGGCTAGAATTAAATTTCCTTTATACATTGCAAAATTAAAGTGTTTTTACCCTGAAGGGTGTCACACTGCCCAAACTGACCCTTCACAAGCTCAGCTGCTGGAGCAAGAGCTGAGTTGTTCAAGAGTTTGCAACCACAATATTCAAAAGGCCATGATGGGAATTTAAAAATGGAAAGGGATTTATCAGACTTTGCTTAGGAGAAGGACATCTCAGCAGGAAAAGCCTTTCAGATAATGGAAAATCAGGAATAGTCTATTGCAGGTATTTTTCCTGCTAATTTCATTGCATGCCATGACAGACCAGCCTCATAAAAGCCAATAAAACCTGGCAATTACAAGAAAAAAAATAAACTCTTAATATTTTTCTTCTTTCTGATATTGGGAATGACTGTAAAAATCACACAAAATTTAGAAATCACAAGGGTTGGGATAGAATTGCCTTTGATCACTCAGGACAAATGACCTGCCCACTTTTAGAGACAGAAACTGGGGCTAAAATGATTCAAACCATCAGGTTTAGGTTATAATTTTTGGTTCTTTCTTACCTGTAGAGGGTTTTTTAGAAGATTTACATCCCTGAGGAGAGGCAGATCTTTAATCCATTTAAGCTCACTGACCTCAGCCACCTGAGCAGGGACAGAAACAGAGCATAAATCGGTGGAAACAGAATCCATGAGAACTAGGCAAGGGAAATGAAGTATTTTAATGCCTGCTCTTCGAATTTGGGCATAAAAAAAGTCATTCTAAATCACAAAAGGGGTTTACGTGTTAACTGCACTCAATGAGGCACTTCCAGGCACAAAAGGAGACAACCTGGCTGTTAGCTGGAGCAGCAGGATGATCCACACAGCAATTTGCAAGCACCTGCATTTTCCCAGTTCTTTCAAATGTCAAACCCCTGACACATTTGGCTTTTTATGTGCTGATGTGCTCGAGTGAGGCAATTCTGCAGTTAAATTCGTGCTATGGCTGGGTAGTTTAAAAAAAAAAAAAAAAGTCCTTCAAAGAGTTTCATTTCACTGAAGTTCAAGTTCATCCTACAGAACTTGCAGCACTTGGCTAAAAAAGGACCAGGATTTTTGTCCTTGGATGTGTCCAGAGGGATAAAACAGGAGGTCCAGAGGATCCAGCCTATTTGGGGTGTCAGCTGTGCACAAAGGAAAGCTGGGCACTCAGTTATGGGGGTTCATCAAGGTTTGTGTGGCCCAAACCAACCTGGTTTTCTGCTGAAAGATGGAATCAGAGAATCGTCATGGAATAGGTTGGAAGGATCTTCAAACTCATCCATGGCAGGGACACCTCCCACTGTCCCAGGCTGCTCCAGCCCCAGTGTCCAGCCTGGCCTTGGACATTCCAGGGATCCAGGGGCAGCCCCAGCTGCTCTGGCAATCCCAGCCCAGCCAGGAATTCCTCATTCCCAAGATCCCATCCATGGCTGCCCTCTGGCAGTGGGAGCCATTCCCTGTGTCCTGTCCCTCAGGCCTTGTCCCCAGTCCCTCTGCAGCTCTCCTGGAGCCCCTTCAGGCCCTGGAATGTGCTGGAAGCTCTCCCTGGATCCTTCTCCCCTCCAGGGGAACATTCCCAGCTCTCCCAGTCTGGCATTGGATCCATCTCCTCTCCAAGAAATTCATGGACCCAGGGGCTTCACTTGGAATCTCAGGAAGCCATGAAGGGTCTCCCTTCCCTTTCCCTCTCTTTTCTATCCCCATTTTCCATAAAAATCCCTTGGGATGGATTCAGAGTGTCCCAAATCCCAGAATCCTGGACCAGTTTGGGTGGGAAGGGACCTCAAAGCTCATTCCAGGGACACCTGCCATGATCTCAGGGTGCTCCAGCCCTTCCTGGGACATTCCAGGGATCCAGGAGCAGCCCCAGCTGCTCTGGCAATCCCAGCCCAGCCAGGAATTCCTCATTCCCAAATCCAATCTAAACCTCTCCTCTTTTAGTGTAGAACCACTCCCTTTTCTCCTGTGTTTTTTTCCATGTAAAAAGCCTCTCTCCATTTCTTTCACAGCCCCTTTTAAATCCTGAAAGCCCAACTGAACCTAAAAACCTCTGGATTTTCCTAATTCATACTCAATCCTTTTAAAGTCTCTAAAAACATAAACCTCAACCACAGCCTACTCAAAACTCTCTGAGATCAGAATAACCCCACCCAGGACAGTTTTGATGACATTAAATGTGATCTGAGTGGATTTCTTAAATAAATCCCAGAATTCCAGCCATCAACAGTTGAAAATCACCGAATGTTTACAAGAGACACGTTTGCAGCTGAACCTGTTGTCCCCATTTTTTTAAAAACCAAGAATTTAAGATCATTCTGAGTGGTCTTCAGCTGAAGTAACTCCATGTGTTAATTAATTAAAACTCCCCTTTAAATTATTAAAGAAGACATCATTAAGCAGTTTCTATTACATCATTCAAAGAGGCAAGTTTTGATAAGGTAAAATGAAGAGTTTTTTTGTGCTGTAAAGAACATAAATAAGGCAATGGAAGTGGTGTTATTAATGTTAATAACAACCACATCATTAGAGAGTTTCCTGTCTGCTGCAATTGAGGTACCTTTAAATATCAACCTGAACACAGGCAGAAAAAGAATGCACAGTGATTTGAATTAAATCCTCTTGCAAGGAGGGGAAAATGACAGAAAATGTTCCACTCTGCTTTATATTTTTGTTTTCTTAGATTATCTTTTTTCCCCACATGTCTTTGATGTCAAAGCGATTCATGAATTGATTTTTTTTTCAGTAAAGGATGCTGGAAGATCAATATCAATATTATTGTGAATATTTGGCTTGGCATTCAAAATTCAAAAGAGTCGGATGGTGCCATTGTATTTCCAGTACAGAAAATTATGCTGCATAACAAAATCCACTTTTTAACAGAGTTCTTGCAGTTCTGCCTTGCAGGGAGTTTCCAGCTGAGAGCTCAGAAGAATCTGTGCTCACAAAATTGGGCTGAGAGATATTAACAACCCCCCCTGAGGCCTGACAGCAGCAGAGCTGTGGTGTAAATAAAAATTCTCTGGAATAATCGAGATGGAAAATCTGCAAATTCATCCCTGCCTGGCCCAGCCAGGGGAGCACTGTAAATTCTCATGTGTGAGAGCACTAAAGTGGGAGCTGAGTGAAGAGAAAGCCACCTCAGATATTAAATAAGGGCTTAGAGAACACCAGGAATCAATGTGGAAAACACCAAAAGAAAAGATCTCAGCTTTTCTAATATTCATTTCTTGCAGTGCTGGAGGATTTTTGGAGCTCTTCAAGGAACTGAGTGTTAAAAAATGAAAATATTCTGTGCTGTTAAAAGAACTGAGCTCAGTCTGGTACCTGGTTATCCTCCAGGTTGATCATCTCCAGTAGGTCGTGTTCCTCCAAGCCTTGAAGACTCTTGATTTTATTGTTGGACAGATCCACCCTCTGCAGAGATTTCAAACTCTTCAGCCCATCCACCTTCTCAATCTGGTTAAAGCTCTAGGAAAAAGAATGAAAGCAGAGAAACTGCAAATAAACCTCTATGAAAGATAAAATTCCTCAGGGGAAAAAAAGAGTTATTTGTTGTATTTGAGGATTTTTTTGTGAGGGAGAATCCTGTAAAAAAAATAGGCTTTTATGCATTAGCTTTATGCACATCCTGATGTGTTGCATTCCTGCTGATAAACCTCTATGGAAAACAACATTTCTGAGGGGAAAAAAAAAGTTATTTGTTGGATTTGAGGATCCTTTCTCATGGAGAATCCTGTCACAGATAGGCCTTTCTGCAATAGCCTCATGCACATCCTGATATATCAAATTCCTCCTCATGGAAAAAGGGAATCAACTCTCTCCTGATTAGCTTATCTCCAACTCACCTTGAAAAGAGAACAGCAACAAAGAGAGCTCTAACATTTTTTAAAAGCTGATATTGGCACAAGAACACTCTTGTCACCATCCAGCTCAAAATTTAGAACAGAGAGATGCATGGAAAATTATGGAATATATAAACATAAATACATTGAATTTCCCTCTGTAATCATGACTCTATTTACACTTGTGATTACGGAATAAATAATGAAAAAATTAAGGTAGGATGGAGAGGAGAAAGGCTGAGGGTTGGGAATGTTCCCCTGGAGAGGAGAAGGATCCAGGGAGAGCTTCCAGCACATTCCAGGGCCTGAAGTGGTTCCAGGAGAGCTGAAATTTGGGAAAAGAATGGAGGGACAGGACACAGGGAATGGCTCCCACTGCCAGAGGGAGCCATGGATGGGAAATTGGGAATGAGGAATTCCTGGCTGGGCTGGGATTGCCAGAGCAGCTGGGGCTGCCCCTGGATCCCTGGAATGTCCAAGGAAGGACTGGAGCACCCTGAGATCATGGCAGGTGTCCCTGGAATGAGCTTTGAGGTCCCTTCCCACCCAAACTGGTCCAGGATTCTGGGATTTGGGACACTCAGGATCCATCCCAAGGGATTTTTATGGAAAATGGGGATAGAAAAGAGAGGGAAAGGGAAGGGAGACCCTTCATGGCTTCCTGAGATTCCAAGTGAAGCCCCTGGGTCCATGAATTTCTTGGAGAGGAGATGGATCCAATGCCAGGCTGGGAGAGCTGGGAATGGAGGGAATTCCCTAGGAAGGGAGATTGGAGTGGGATTTTGGGAATGAGGAATTCCTGGCTGGGCTGGGATTGCCAGAGCAGCTGGGGCTGCTCCTGGATCCCTGGAATGCCCAAGGAAATGTTGGACACTGGGGCTGGAGCAGCCTGGGACAGTGGGAGGTGTCCCTGCCATGGCAGGGGTGGCACTGGGTGACCTTGAAGGTCCCTTCCAACCCAGACCATTCCATGATTCTCTGATATGATACCAAAATCTCTCTGGAATACGTAAATCTGTATTAATGCACATCAAGTGAAGGCTCCATTCACTGTCAGCAACAGCACAGAAACATTTAAAAAATAATAATTTTTAAAAAACCAATTTTCCTGGAAATTCTTTCAGACTTTCCCACACAAAACGCTCCAAAGTTTTGAGAACCAACCCTCAGAGTTTTTTCAAACTGGCCTCCAGATGGTTTCATTCCTCAGGGCCTCACAAATCAGAGACTCATTTCTGCCACAAACTCCAAGCAGGGATAACAACTCCGTGCTCATCCCTGTCCCACACATTCCCAGATGGTTTCTCCACAGGATTCTTCCTCCATAACCTTGGAAATTTTATTTTTCCATCAGCCTCACCTTGTGCTAAAAGCTCGGAAGCCTCATCTCCTATTAATAAATATTTAGGAACTGTAGAAATAAATAAGCCAGCTGACTCTCATATTAATCCAGTTGTCTGTCCTTGACATTTTTCCTGACTTTTAAATGTTTAATTAGGTTATTAATAGCATGGAGGCTGCTCCTGAGCTTCGTTAGACCTCTGATTAATCGGGTACAGCTCAGAGCTGTAAAATGTTGGGCCAGAGGTGCACAGAAAATTCTGTGGACAAAAGGGATTTGGGGATATATCCTTTAAAAGCAGAAAATTCCTAAGGGTCCACTTAATTAGAGCTGTGCTTCTTATTTATCTTTTTTTTTTTCTTTGCAAACATGAGTGGAATAAAGGGGTTTTTGGTACAGCAAGGGAGAATTCACAGGTTTTGAAATCTTCCTCCCAAACTTCAGAACTTTCTGCTCTTTTCAACCTAAAAAGCTCAAGGGGAAAGGGGAGAGAAAGCAGAATCACTGGGAAGAGAGGGGATAAAAATAACAACAATAAAAAGAACTGCATTTTATTCTAATTAATTCTATTTTTTTAAAGAAAATGCTCTGCTAAAATCTATTTCCATAAATTTCCACGTGGCTAATTAAAAATTATATTATCACCTAAGAACCCCAAATGAGGAACAGGTTCATATTTAATAAGATTTAACTATTTCCCAACTTTGGAAAGAGCAGATTCCCAAGGGAATTCCTGTTAGACCTTTAAACAAACCAGGAAATCAAGGCACACAATGATGGAGGGACTTGCTGTGGCTCAAAATTTGGAGAGAAAAAAAGCTTCAAAATATTTAGAAAAATGATCCTCACACTCCTGGAGCTCCTTTCAGGACATTTCCATGGAATTTGGCCAATCTGAGTTAATCTTCTCCACTAAAAATGAGACAAATTCCAATTTATTGCTACTGAGAGCTCCTGGAGGTATCATAGATCTGAAATATAATTTTATTAACATTATTTGAATACATTATTCAAAACAGGCTAAATGTGAACACCTTGCCTGAATACTGCAGCAGCCAAGCCCCATCTGATTTGGTATTTTCTATATTTTACAGAATAGAAGAAAAAGCTTTAATTTTTTAAAAGTATTGGAAAAGAATATTTCTATTCCTGATAAGGGATTCATTCACTGCAAATATTTCTGTGGGTGCTTAAAACTAATGTACCAATAGAAACTCTGTATAGGATTTTTGGCACTTATTTTTCTAGTCCAATTAAATATTTTCCACTTCTTACAAAGTAAAAGCTTTTAAGAGCAGCCTGTTGCTTTTGGAGCCACTGGACTGCATTAAAAATAGGTTTGGGTTGTGTTTTTGTGCAACATTTGTATTAATAACTTTGAAAATGTATAGTATTGCAGCTATTTCTGATAATTTGTTATGTAATTATATGTTTATTATATTTATAAAAATATATATATAAAATATATATATTTATAAAAATATATATATAAAAATATATATATTTATAAAAATTATTATAAGAATATATAATATATTTAATATGATATCTATAATATAAATAAATATATAAATATATAACATATTATTATTTATTACAGAAATTTAAAAATTATTAAAATATATTTTAAAAATTATTAAAATTATTATAATCTACTTAATTTATTAAAAATCTATTATAAGCTAACAATATATACAATATCTATTATAAATAATAGATATAATATATATAATATTGAAGATATTATATAGAGATATATAGAATGCATATAATGTATATATTGTATATAATGCATAATATATCTACATTATATAAATAGATAATACATATAATGTATACACATATATAGAAATATTTATATGTCATATATAAAAATATAATATCTATTCTATATAGTAGATATAATAGATATGAGATAAAATATTTAATACATATTATATATATAGATATATAGAAGGCATATAATATATAGAATGCATATAATATATATTATATATAATGTATAATATATCAACATTATATAAATAGATAACACATATAATGTATATACATATATAGAAATATATAGTTAATGTATATAATATATAATATTTAATATATATTATATATAGAATGTATATAATATATAGAAAGCATATAATATATGGAATGCATGTACGGTATATATTATGCATAATGTATAATATATCTACACTATATAAATAGATAATATATAATGTATATACATATATAAAAATATATATTTAATATAAATATATAAATAAATATCTAAAATAAATAAAATATAGATAAAGTATATAATATATAATTATATATATTATATATGTATATATATAATTATACATATTATATATTATATAATATATAGTATTTTCATATTATATTTTTAATATTATATTTCTTATATTTATTCTATATACTCTATAATTATAGATATAATGCTGTAATATACATATATAATTATTTTCATCCTGATGCTATTCTATTTCTGATTCCTCCCAAGGCACTGCTGGTGGCCAGGAGGCAGCAGGAACGCCACCAGGAGGTTTGTTCCTCACCAGGTTGAGGTCTCGGAGGGGCAGGTCCTGCAGTCCCCGGGTGGCCCTGAGCCGGTTGTGGGACAGTCCCAGCTGGGCCAGGCTGTGACACTGCTCCAGCCCCCGGATCTCCTGGATCTCATTGACTGGGCACGGCTTTCAGGGAAAAATCAGCTGGATGTTGGAAATGCAGGTGAACGCGGTGGGGAGAAATGATGATGTCTGACTCGAGTCAGAAGGCTGAATGGTTTATTTATTATAACTATGCTATAATACATTAATATACTATTTAAAGGAGATACTCAAACTACACACCTACTTTTCTAACTACCATCTCTAACTCACAACTCGTGCCCCTCTGAGAGTCCAGCCCCAGGTGGGTTGGATTGGATTGAGTAGGATTGGATTGGATTGAGTAGGATTGGATTGGAGTGAGTTGGATTGGATTGGAGTGAGTTGGGTTGGGTTGGATTGGGTTGGATTGGATTGAGTTGGATTGGATTGAGTTGGATTGGATTGGGTTGGGTTGGGTTGAGTTGGATTGGGTTGGGTTGAGTTGGATTGGGTTGGGTTGAGTTGGATTGGGTTGGGTTGAGTTGGATTGGGTTGGGTTGAGTTGGATTGAGTTGAGTTGGATTGGCCATCAGCTCAAACAATCCTCACCAGAACCCAACCAAGCAATCACCCCAGGGAAACAATTCTCCAACCACATTCCACAAGGGACAAACAAGGAGCAGAAATAGAAATTGTTTTCTCTTTCTTCCCTCTGTGCTCCTCTATGAAAAATCCTGAGAGGGGGAGAAATGTGCTTGCCACAGCTGAACACAAAACCTGAGCTGTAATTAGGTGATCAATTTTGTTTATTGGGTGGGCAGCTGGACAGGAAAGGATTTTTCCTGAAGGGGTTTAAATCCCACTGCTCCTACAGAAATTATTCGAGTTACAATTTTATAAATATTATTTTATAAATAAAATTTTATAATTTTATTCGAGTTATAATTATATTTCATTTTCAATTATACCTGTTGTGTCCTGGCCATCTGTCCTGAGAGAAAAAAGTGCATTTTAAATTAACACTACAGTTAAAAACAGCAGCAAAAGTAATTAGAATTCCTCTCAGCAAACTTCAGCATTAACACAACTCCTCAAATTCCCCAAAAAAAGAAATTTTGACAACAGATCCAGCTCCAATTTCTCCTTTCAGGAGATGGAGTGAGAGGAGCCAGACTCTGGATCTGCCCAAAATCAGGTTAAACTCTGCCCCAGGGATGTGACTCTTTGGTGAGGGGAGTTAGGCAAAAGTTTGAATAAGGAAAAATTAAAGTTTAAAACACAAGCATCAAAATAATAATAACAATAATAATAATAACCAACCTCTGTAAGGCACATCTCCCCTTTTCAATTTTCTATGGTACAAAAAGGAGTTTTTGTGTTCCTCTAGCAGGAAAATCCCCCAAATATGCCCAATTTTAACACCATTAGTGCTTAAGTAAATTAAGCTCAATCTCAGAATTACAATTTCATCTCAGTTCTAAGGACATGAAGGGGGAAATACAAAGAAAACAGGTATTTATTTGAAGAAACAGCAAAAAAAAAAAAAAATCAATTTTCTCCCATTCAAGATGGCCCAAAGGATACAATCCAGCAGGAGTTTGGTAAGTGAGTGGTATGCTGACAAATCTTTCATTTTTGGGATTTGATTGTGTGAAAAATCTACTTCCTAAAGGAAAAAAAGGAAAAAAAAGAGAGGAATTTGGGGTTATTTCTTCAGCACTTACTCTGGCTGGGAGTTTGTTCCACCTTCCCATCACATGCAGGGGTTCAGGGTGAAAGAAAATAAAATCAGTAAATAAAATGCAAATAAATGGATAGAAACAGAAATAAAAGTCACATAAATATTAATAAAAGACAAAAATAAAAGACAGACCCAAACATTTGGAAAAGGAAAATGTGAATTGAGGTGAGAAAGAAGAATTAAAAAGAAATAAAAATTGAATTTTGCCTATGCTCAAATACATCTAACTTCGATTCAGAAAATGGTTTTGAATTTAAAACTTTAAAATGTTGCTTTTGGTTTTTTTTTTTTTTTCAGACTTACCTTGAGGTTTTTAGGTGCTTTAAAATCGAAATATGTGGTCAGTTGATTTTTGGAAGCATCCAGCTCTACTAAATAAGGCATGTGGCTGACACAGGAAAGATCTAGAAATGAAAAAAATGTCAAATCCTGTGCCTGAATGCAAAGATCATCACAGCAAAATGTGCTAATTACATCCGGGGGTAATTAACAGTTAATTTGGAGCTGCACAGTCAGAAATAGATAATACATATAATGTACATACATATATAGAAATATTGATATTTAATATATAAAAATAGAACATATAAAATATATAATATATATAATAGATAGATATAATTATATATTAAAAATTATATATATAATTATATATAATATATGCGATAGATATAATAGATATACTATTTAATATATATTATATATAGAGATATAGAGAATGCATACAATATAAAGAATGCATGTAATGTATATATTATACATAATGTATAATACATCTACATTATATAAATACATAATATATAATGTATATACTTATATAAAAATATATATTTAATATAGATATATAAGTAAATATATAAAATAGATAAAATAAAGTATATAATATATAATTATATGTATACAGGAAAGATCTAGAAATGAAACAAAATGTCAAATCCTGTGCCTGAATGCAAAGATCATCACAGCGAAATGTGCTAATTACATCCTGGGGCAATTAAGAGTCAATTTGGAGCTGCACAGTCAGAAATAGATAATATATACTTAATATATAAAAATAGAATATATATATATATATATATAATATTTAATATATATTATATATAAAGATATATAGAAGGCATATAATATAGAGAATGCATATAATTTAATACATAATGTATAATATATCCACATTATATAAATAGATTATATACAATGTAGATACTTATATAAAAATATATATTTAATATAAATATATAAGTAAATAGATAAAATAGATAAAATAAAGTATTTAATATATAATTATATGTATTATATAATTATATATAATAATATAATATATATTAATTATACAATATATACTATATATAATATATTATATAATGATATTATAAATTATATATATTATATATTATATTATAATTATATTAAAATTTCTATAATATATTTAATAGGTAGGTATTATTATCATATAATAGAAATATGCTATATGATTATGTATATAATGATATAATAAAATATATATTATATTATATATAATTATATCATATAATATATAGGCATAATTCAGAAAGTGATGCCTAAAATGCAGAAATCAGACCTATTAACACCTTCTCCTAAAGGAAAAAAAAAAAAAAAAGATTTATCAACTACAGAGAATAAATATCCAAGTTGGACATTTAATTTTCATTATGCCAGCTGACTTGCCTTTAAGAAAGAATTTATTTTTCTATTCCATCCACCTCTAGAATGACAGATTCACTCTGGCCTGAGATATCAATTAGTGGAGAAAAGCATTGAGGCCATGAGGAAATGAGTGGTTGCTATGGAAAAATCTCTACTCTGTTCATAGCTGGCCTCCACAGAAAAAATAAAATAAAAAATAAAATAAAATAAAATAAAATAAAATAAAATAAAATAAAATAAAATAAAATAAAATAAAATAAAATAAAATAAAATAAAATAAAATAAAATAAAATAAAATAAAATAAAATAAAATAAAATAAAATAAAATAAAATAAAAATCTCTTACTAAAATGAGCAGGGAGAGGAGCTGCTGTAAAAAAGTGCTGCTATTCTTGGACTCCAGCTCCTCAACTGAAATAATGTGGTTGCCCCACAACAGCTGATTCCACTTGATGTTAAATTAAAAAAAAAAAAAAAAAAAAAGATAACGAGAGAGAAGGAGCAGCTGGTGGAGTTCCTCCCACTCTCCATTTGGCACCTTTCTAAATGTAAAAAATGTAAATTTTTTTTTTTTTTTTAACCTTTTGTCACCCGTGGAAAACCCTGACAAGGGAAAACTCAAGGCTGGGAAAACTAAAACAAGCATCACTTGAATATTCTGCTGCCTGCAGAATCTGCAGCTTCACCTTGACATTTCTGCTGGGATTTTATCTCTGGGAAACAAAGTGAGGTTTAAACTCCACGTTCTCATTGATAAACATCTGCTGGTCTTAATGGGCCGTGGAATTTGGGGTATTTTAGAGGAGATCAAACATTTTGTGGGATGTTTGACACCATTAAAATGTCAGCCAGGCTTTGGGACACTAAAACTTTGTGGTCCAGTGCATTTCTCATCTGAAACTGTTTCACAAGCCAGGAATTTGTAGTTTATTTACTCCATACCATTAATTTTATTGGAGGAAAGCTCCATTTTCTGCAGGTGAATGTATCCAGAGAGAATGCTGATGTCACTCAACCCACGACCCTGCAAAAAGGAAAGAATTGTAATTATAATTTTAATAACTGGTTAATAACTCAGCTCAGCAGAGGAAAGGTGCCCCAAGGTCCCTCCAGCTGCAGCAGGACAAGGTGACATCTACAAAAAGTGATGTTGGAGCAGCCAGAAAGGGAGAAAAATGCCAAAAAAAAATATTTTGGAACAACAAAAAGAGAGCTGCAGTCAGGAAAAACACCAGGGAAAAAAAAGCTGTGTGGAAAAGGGAGGGACAGAAGACACAACCACTTCAACTTCCTGAATTCAGCATTTCCAGGTGTTTTACACATTTTTTTTTCCTCCAGCTGACTGAAGGAGGAAGATACATTTTTCACACCTAAGGACTGGATAAGGAAAAAGTAATAAAATCAAAATCAAAAATCTCAGTGCTGAAAAAAAAAAAAACCCACCCCTTCACTCTGGCAGTCGGCAGGAGCCACTCTGAGTCTTATCAAAAGCCCTGCACATGGAAGAAACAGTGACAAAAATTTACCTCTTGACATTTTTTTCACATAGGCCATTTTTTTTTTCAAATAGAACAGCTATTTGCTGTTGAAAAAAAGGAAATATTTGTGCAGAAGAGCGCCATAAACTGATTTTTTTTTTTTTTTGCTGGTACTTACGGGAAGTGACAGATGGAGATAAACATATTCAGTGCCAGGGGCTGAGCGGCCGAAGGTGTGGAGTCCCTTGGCGGCGGTGTCTTCATCCAACACCCCCTCCAAGTGAGCCTAAAAAACACCAAAAAAAGGGAAAAATTGATTAAAGGGGATTTAGGAAGGGAAATTCCACACCTGGGAGAATCCAGAGGCTGCTGGGGTGAAAGTGGGAAGAGGGTTGATAAAAGTCCTCAATGAAATGCTGCTTCCAATGCTTCACCACCCCACTAAGAAAAAAGAATTTTAGGATAAATGATGAACCCTGTCCTGAAAACACTGAACAGAAACTTGAGAAGGTGCATCAGGATTTTGCTGGGATTTTAAATTTTGTTCCCTCCTGGCTGAAGTGATGCCTCAGGGTTTAGCTTTTATATTTTTCAGATTCTGAGCTGCTTTAGTGTGTGGGTCTGAGCTTCTCATTATGGGATGGTGAGCTCTGTGCACAGAGCAGGGAGACAAAACAATTCCTGCTCCAGCTGGGCACCAAGGACAAATGATCCAAATCTCAGCCCAGGAGCACAAACACCGTGGGCTGGAGAGAGAAAAACAAGCAGGATGGGACTGCCTGGGCTAAAGCTGGAATGGGACAATGAACTCCAAGGTGCCAATGGAGCAGAACTGATCCCAGGGAGAGCCCCGGGAGCGCTCGTGCATTTTGGGGCCATTTTGGGTCATTTGGGTGCAGCCCTGGCTGGGCTCTGGTGCTGCCCAAGGTGGATCCACTGAGGAGATGCTTTCATTAAATCACAAATTTATTCTTTAGCTCTGCCCAGCCCCTGCTCTAGGTCAGATTCTCAAGGCATCAGAAGCACAGGTCCTATCCCCATGGCTGCTGATTTCCCACCAACAGGGCGCTGCACCCCAAAATTAACATTATTGAGAGCACTTTCCTCTTGTTCAGCATGAGCAGCTCTGGGATGGCTCCTCAAAGGAAAAATCTTTGCCAAAGAGGCTGCTGGGCAGATGGCACTAATGAACCACAGTGTGAGTTTAAGGAGAAAATCAGCCAATAATGGTTTGAGAAGTTCCTCTCAGCTCCCAGGAGCCACACGAGCATTGCTAACCTAGGGAGCTGCCTGACCATTCACAGTCCATCCACAAACGAAGAGATTTGACAAATCAAATTAAAACAGATGATAAATCATAATTAGACAAGTAATTTTAAATATAGAGTTTTACACCTTAAGTAAAGGAACTTTACAAAATATTTTAAGTACATTGATAATTATAGTGACAATATTAGTGGTAGAGCCTTGTGTGCTTCACTGTACACACAAACAATAAACAAAGCCATCACAGAAGTGTTTTCTGTTCCAAAGAGAGGGGGAAATGTGGGAAATGGATTTGTAGAGAATTCTCAAAGCCTGACAGAAAGCTCACACAGTGCATCTGTGTGCAAACCTGGAGATGAGAAATGCTGACTGAGAAATGCCCTGGAATGGGACAGACACTGCTGGGAGAGAAATGGAACTAGAGACAAGTTTCAAAGGGTGGCCTTACAAATTAGACTGGGTCCTTTGGAGAACTAGAACTGGTGTGACAGACCAAGAAACACTTATAATATATTGTAACTAGGAAATAATTGGCTTCTGATTGTGATGGCACGAATTAAAACATCTGTATTGTCTCACCCTTCACAGGAGGCTGAAAATGGAATAAAAGTTTTTAAAACACCTCTCAGCTGCCCCATCTCGGGGTCAGAAAAGAGCTTAATCCAACAGGGACCAAGAGAAATAATAGAATAATTTCATTATAGCACCTACATGTCATAGCAAGGGAGAGCACAGAATAATTTCCACAAGGCAGAACATGAGGTGATATTTTGTGGTGTTGGGATTTAAAGCTCATCAGGGCAGGGAGAGAAAATTCACACATGTCTATTGGGGCTTATTGAAGCTCAAAAAGGAGCTTTAAAAAGGAAATGGGGTTGATTTGGCCATACATGTGCCAGTTTAATCTTATATGGCAGGAGCACTTGGCAGTGCTGGGTTAGTGGTTAGGATTGACAATCTTCAAAGTTGTTTTTTCCTGAGAGAGAGAGAGAGAGAGAGGGGGGAAGAATCCAGGAGGAGCCTGGACAGCACAGGGATGGGAGGAACCCTACAAAAGGCAGAAATGAGAGGTGTCGCCCTTCCTTCTCCCACATCCACACTGAGGGGGGAAAGGGCAGTTCCCACCCAAGCCCTGGGCTGAACCTCTGAGCGCTCCGGCTCTTCCTCCTCGCCCTCCTCCTCCTGCTCATCCTCGCGGTGAGGCGGCCCGGGCCGGGGCTGCGGCGGCTCGTCAGGAGGGGGAAGCGGCTCCCCGGGGCTGCCTTCTGTCCCGTTCTCCTCGCCGCCCGCCATGAGCTGCGATAATGAAGGAGGAGACGGAGGAAACTTCGCTATGGGCGCCGTCCCCGCTCCGGCCTGGCCGCCGCCATTTGTTTACGCGTTGCCATGGAGACGGGAAGAGCCAACCGCCCCGCCAGCCAATAGGAGCGCAGAGCGTGCAGCGGGGCAGTATGGGAATTGTAGTTCTCACTAGCGGTGCGCACCCGCTCTATCCGCCTCGCCGCGGAGCATCTTGGGAGTTGTAGTTCGCCTCCCTGAGGCAGCCAGTGGCCTCGCTCCCGCCTCGAAAAGAAATAATACATAAAAATAATTATAAATATGTCAATGTAAGGCGATAAAGAGGCGCACAAAGCCTCTCTGGCGTAGACAAAGCCTTTACTCAGTGTGTAGAGGGTGACCAAAGAGTTATTGGTCAATCACAAGGTAGCCCAGGCCGTTATTAAGCTCGATTTGCATATTAACATTGACACCCAACCCCACCTGTGAAAAATGCGTATTTTAGGATTGGCTTTTGGCAAATATGAAAATGAATACTATATGTGCAATGTTAGAAAGTTATGCTGCATTAATTCTCTTAAGTAGCGTGTTAAGTATAGTTTTAGGTTACAACATAATGTTAAAATAGAAACTCTGCCATGTAAGGTATTTTTTACTAGCTCAAGAAAAGGGATAAGATAAACAAGAAACTTTTCACACAGAAATAACAGTGACAGGGCACATAAAGAGTTACAGCTTCCGTATCAGAAAAGACAAACATCCTTCCACCTTGTCTCTATATTAGACAAAAACCAGAAAAATTCTTAATTTGCAAGGAATTTATGCATCATATATGAGCTATATGAATATGCAACAGGCTGTTGCTTTTAAGGTTTATTCCTTTGTTCACAAGGCATGGTTTTGGCAGCTCAGTGCCCAAAAACATCCAAAATTCTTTGTTTTTTATTGTCTCATAGTGCCCTAATCCTCATCGTCCAAAATTTTTATTACTCTAATTTTATTACTATTTTTTATAACTATTTTATTGCTAATAAACTTTTAAGATTTAAAAAAAAAAAAAAGAAGTGATTGGTGTTTTTCACACCTATATATATATGTATAGACACACAGAGAGAAATATAAATATAAATTAGATTTCTGTTATTATACTTTCTTCCATGACACACCATAGCTGGTGGTGAAATACTGTTTTTCCTTAAGAGAAAGGTACAATTTCAGAACTGATGGTGGGGAGGGAAGATAAAAATCTATATAATTTTACCAGATTTTCGGGAAATAATGAGAGATGAGACTGTCACAGCACGGGAAAGCAAAATTACAGCTTTTGAAATATCTTTGTGTGTTGTCCTGATTTTATATCACGTGTATCTTACAGACAGCAATCTGCTCCTAACACAAATTTGAAGTAAAGATGCTAAGGATATTTGAGTTTTTGGGTCTAACATCCACCTCTTTTTGGGTTTGTTTTTTGGGGTTTTTTGTTTGTTTTTTTTTGTTTGTTTGTTTGTTTGGTTTTTTGAATTTTTTTGTTTGTTTTTTTTTTTTTTTTGGTTTTTTTTTTTTTTTTTGTTTTTGTTTTCCTATTGTGTCTGGCACAGGCTTCAAGATCCTGGGATAATTAAAGCCCAGTAAAGATTATGAGGCTGTAAAAAGGAAATTGTGAAACCCTCATGAACATTTACAGCCCCCATGGCAACATTTCGGGTTTGTGGTCTGGAGAAGTATTTCCTTGTCTCTTTAAGCACTTCCCTGGAATGATTCCTGGCAGAGCTGCTGGAATTTCATGGGGCTTTACAAAACAGAATCTCCAGGCTTTGGTTGTGAACTGTTATGTCAGTTTGGGTGGGAAGGGACCTCAAAGCTCATTCCAGGGACACCTGCCATGATCTCAGGGTGCTCCAGTCCTTCCTTGGGCATTCCAGGGATCCAGGGGCAGCCCCAGCTGCTCTGGCAATCCCAGCCCAGCCAGGAATTCCTCATTCCCAAGATCCCATCCATGGCTGCCCTCTGGCAGTGGGAGCCATTCCCTGTGTCCTGTCCCTCCATCCCTTGTCCCCAGTCCCTCTGCAGCTCTCCTGGAGCCCCTTCAGGCCCTGGAATGTGCTGGAAGCTCTCCCTGGATCCTTCTCCTCTCCAGGGGAACATTCCCAGCTCTCCCAGCCTGGCTCCATGGATTCCTCTGGACCTTCTCCAGCCGCTCCAGGTGCTGCTGCTGTTGGATCCAGCACTGGATGCAGAACTGGAGATGTTCTCTGCTCTTGTAACAGATCCCAGAGTGAGGACTGGGTCCCTCCTGCAGGGCAGATTTGGGGTTGGTCGTGCTCTGCACAGCTCAGGCCGAAGATAAAGGAGGTTCCCAGGATTTTTGCACAGTTTCCAACACCCTCTTGTGGGTTTTTCCCCTTTGGGAAACCATCTCCCACTGCAAATGTGTTACAAATGCCCTGTGTGACTGATTTCCATGGAGAAACAAGAACCAGAAAACAGGAAAGGAAAATTAATGCTGGGAGGGCAGAAAAGTTTCCCAAAGGCTGCTGATTTCAGAGCCTGGAGCTTCTGTTCCATCCCTCAGAAGTGACAAACCCAGGACAGCCAGAGCCTGGCAAAGCTGGGCAGCACCATGAGGACACCAGTGAGGGACTGTGGGGCTCGGCCCAAACCCAAAAGGGTGTGGAGACTCCAGAATTTCAAACACTTGGTGACCAAATGTGCCCTCAGGAGACTTCCCAAACACCTCAGGAGTCTCTGGTGTATCAGAGCCACCCTCATCTTCCAGGGGAAGCCCCCCGAGTGTGGGGATGCTGAGGGTGGGGGGGTGTGGACACGGTGAGGGGATTGTCTGAGGAGTTATTTACTCCCAGCCACGACAGCTTGTCTCTACCCACAGCCCAGCTCTGAAAACAAAAACTGTTCCCAAAATCTCTGCCCCACACCCACGGTCTCTCCTGTTTGTGAGAGAGGGCTGGAAATAAACACCAACGCCTTCCAAGGGGATTATTTACCTCATATCCAATCCAAACCTTTCCTGCTAAAACCTGAGGTTGTTGCTTAGGGGAGAAGAAACCAAATCCCACCTGGCTACAACCTCTTGTAAGGGAGTTGTAGAGAGTGAGCAGGTCCCCCCTGAGCCTCTTTTTCTCCGGGCTGAACAACTCTCTGTGATAAACAACCCGATTTCTGTGCTCCAAAATCACAACAGCCGTGGTGTGTTACACTCGTGGCGGGAGGAAAACACAGTTCACTCCAAAACCACCTTCCCAGGGAAAAATATCCAGTGAGGATCCTTTGGTGGGGATTCTAAGATGCTGCTGCAAGGCAGAATCCTGGAATTAAGGTTGGAAAAGACCTCTGAGATCATGAAATCCAATGTTCTTGTGGTGTAGAGAGGAAGCTGGAGCAGGGAATGTCCCTGGGGGGCTGGAATGAGGTGCTTGGGGTCAGGATTCATTCCCACATCCCACATGCTGCTCCTACCTTTCTCCTTGCTGTGATCTCTGGAATATTCGCTTCCCTCATGAAGGTTTGGAGAGGACTGAGAGTCTGAGCTCTTGAGGAGACACCAGTTAATTGCAAACTCTAATTACCTCAATTGAAAAATCTTCTCTTTCCTCTCCACCTGCTGCAGGCGAGTCCCTGCTCTGTTCACACCTCGTGGGGCTGTGATGGACAATGTGAGGAGCAGCTCAAGGAAAAACAGTTTAAATAATTTGTTTTAGACTCAAAAATACTCCCAAAGATGAGATTTTCCTGATTTTATCCAATCTGTTCCTGGCCCCCACCGGCACAGCTGTTGGGTGGGTGGGAAATGTGGACTGCAAAGGCTGAGATCAGCAAAGCAGAGCATCAGATGATAAAGGAATTAATAATTAACCAGTTGCACACCAGGCCACAGCAGCCCAGTCTGAATTCAGAGCTCCTCACACATCACTCTCACACCTCAAATGGGATTTCCTGGTCCCAAGCAGCTCCTTTTCCCCTTCCCAAAATCTGGGTAGGGAATATCCACCATTCCAGGACCTCCATGTTGCAGTGTCTGAGCAGGAGAACACAGATCTGTGATCCCAGGAACATCCCATCACCATCCCTCATGGAATTCTCCCCCATCCTGCAAACCCATCAGGGAAAGGGAGCAACTCCTGCAATTAATGGCCAATACTGACATGAGAAAAATTTGGATTATGAATAAAATGAGGGGAAAAAACATCAGAAAATTCCTACCAACAAGAACTGATGGGTTCAGCTTCTTACATGGATGGTGAGAAGCCTCTGGAGTTGGTCCGTGGTAGCTGAGGGTTAGACTGAGTGACTCAGAAAATCAGAAAATCATTTCCACACTGCTGGAGCCTTGGAGAACGCTGAATTTGGGGCTGGAAAGGAATCTTTTAAACACCTCAGGAATGACAGCTCTTAAAAACAGCCAGACAAACCACCAGGGCCTTTAAACATCCTTTAATTCTACAATTTCAAGGTTGACACACAAAGCACCTACAGCTCAGAGAGAACTTTTCTCAGCACAGGAAACCCAGCTGGGTTTTCCTGGCAAATACAAGTGCAGTGGATTCTGATTTTGGAGGATAAGGAACCTTTTTCCAGGTGAATTTAGAGGGTCAAGGCAGGGCAGAATTGGTGCCCTGGGTGTGCCTCAGACCCTGGATTTGGTGCCCTCCTGCCCTTGCTGATCATTGGTGCTGAGCTACACAACCCTGCCTGTCCTTCCAGTGCATCAAGTGCCGGCCACAAAATATTTCTGGAGCTGGGGGGGATTCAAAGATAATATTCAGGACAAGAGAAGGAAGCGTTTTTTTCTTTTATATTGGCAATTTTCTCCTGCATCCACCCGGCGCTGCAGGCGCCAGATGGCTCCGGGATAATGAAAGAGGAGAAGTGGAAATGGTCCCGTGTTACCTCCCACGTGGAGAACTGGCTGATCACCACCTGAAGGAACAAACAATCACATCTTTTAGCAGTGGAAACAGCAGGAAACTTCACGTGGGTACAACTTGGAGAGAGCACTAGCAGAGCCGAGCAGGCTCCAGAAAAGATCTCCAAACCATCAAGATCCCACGTGTGATCAACAGGTCTGGGATTGGCAGGCAAGGTGCTGATTATTTAGTGTGGTCTGAACTTCCAAGACCAAATTTTCCCTTCTCCCACCCCACAGATCCCTTTACATCTCCAGTCAAAGCAGCAGCAGCAGAGCAAAGCTGAATATCCCACCCCAAACCCCCCTGGGGTTCCTGCTGTGGAATCACTTTTGGGAGAACATTAAAGAAGCGTTATGTGGATACACACCAAAACCACCCCAACCCCAAATCTCAAATGGCATTTCCCATCCTCACCACAATGCCCAGAAGATTCCCACTTTTTCTTTGATTGAAACAGAACAAAATCAACAAAAAAACCCCAAAAAACGAGGAGGTGCCACCCGCCAGCCGCGGGTGACGCGGGCAGCAGTGGGGGTCACACGGTGGTGATTTTCTTGTCCTTGGTGGCCTGTTTGATGGCAGCCTGCTCGCAGATGATCTCCTTGAGGCGCTGCAGCCTCATGTTCTGCGTGGTTTGGTTGCCCACGCCCGTCTGGCTGCGGTGCAGCAGGTTCAGGGCGTAGATGTACTCCAGCTCCGTGTACTTCACGCCCTGGTCCACCACCAGGTTCAGCAGCTCGTCTGCCGTGTTGTAGAGCATCTCATAATACTGCCTGCAAAGAGAAAAACAGCCTGGTTTGTCAGAACCCCGGCCTGGGTCAGGGGTTTCATGTGGTGGAAAAGTCTCTCCTCCAACCCGAGCTTCCAAAGAAAGGCTCAGCAGTCTCTTGTTCGGTCTCAAGGCAGTTTATTCCAAGTTATCTAAAAGATTTTCTTCTCTGGCTGCTGTGGTTTGCTCAGAGCTCAGGCAGAGGCACACACACACCCTGACATCCTCTCTGACTCCCGACTGCTTCTTCTCTCCCCGCCCAGGGCTGCTGCTGTCTTTTATATGGTACATTACGTGTTACATGGGTACAGTTTGTCCCCAATGCCTATTACCTGTATTAAATGGTGCTTTTCTATCTTTTATATGGTACATTACGTGTTACATGGTTACAGTTTTTCCCCAATGCCTATTACCTATATTAAATGGTGCCTTTCTACTCTAAACCAACCTGTGAGTGCCAACATCACCAAGAACATGGAGGGAAGGAAGGAGAAAGAGGAGGAACAGGACAGGCCCAAATCCCTCCATCTTAAAACTTCTGACCCCCATGTACAAAACCAAAACCCCCCTGTACAGCACTCAAAAATTCTTCCCTCTACTTTGTGACTACTTCTACTCTAATATCTGAACTTTTGTGACTCCTTGTTCCACCTTGAAAGTTGGTAAATAATTCTAAGGTTCAAACCCAAAATCACAGCTGTTTCCAGCTGCCTGCCAGGGTCTCAAATGCTTCTGACCAGGGCCTGGAACCTCCAAAAATGTCTGAGGGACATTTTGAATTCCAACACTGGTTAAGTTGTGGTGCTTGATGGTCCACACCTCTGCTTTTGCAGAATTCCATGAGCTGTTGCTTTTATTCATTTTATTTATTTACCATCCCAGGGGGCTCCAAGCCCCAATATCCAGCCTGGCCTTGGACACTTCCAGGGATCCAGGGGCAGCCACAGCTGCTCTGGGTAACCTGTGCTCAACATGGGCAGGTCTTAAAGACAAAGTTACAGAAATCCCCTTTGTTGAGACTCACAGAATGGTTTGGGTTGAAAGAGACCTTAAAGCCCATCCAGTTCCACCCCTGCTTTGACATCCTCTCTTCTCCCCCCAGATATCCCATGGCTGAGCCCTGGGAGCTTTTCCTGCCCAGGCTGATGATCTGGGAAGGGTAAATCAGCTTCCCTGTGCTCAAGCCAAAAGAGATCTTGGGGAGCTAAATTTGCTCTTTGGTTAGGCTTGCTAATCCCACATAATTATTTATTAACCCATTTGTTAGATGACAGACCGAGCTTTTACTAACTTTTAATTATTTTCCTTGGTTTTAAACCTCAACTTTAAAACCACAAAGCACTTGGCCAGCATTCCACGGAGCAGATTCCCCTCACCTGTCCTCCATTTATTTATTCCCTCCATCCTTTACAACTTGCCTTCCTCAGCCACCTCTTGATAATCAAAAGAGGGTTTATAATGGCAGGGACAAACACACTTGTGAAAGGAAAATGAAGAGCCTAAATAAAAAATCACAGAACAAGAGGCTCATCCCACTCCCTCTTTCATATTTCATTATTTGATAACATCAGAGGCTGAGTCCATCAGAGCTGCTTGGGCGAAGGCAAACAGGAGAGTGTCTAATCAATATTTATTAATACTTTCAAAGACAAGGAAGGCAAAGTTGAGCAGACTCTGTAATGGAGTGAATAATTACTCATGCAAATTGGGCTTGGCCGTGGGCGCTGCCATGCCAGAGCGGCAGGTTTTTAATTGCACCCAATTAAAAATGCACACCTTGTGCTCCTTCCCCGCTGCCTCGCTTGCTCCCCTTTTATTTTAGAGGAAATTTTTAATTAAAAAATTATCTGATCCCGAGGAGAGTGGCAGATGAATCCCATGTTTGTGAGGTGCAGGAATTCTTCAGTCAGTCTGGATTTAGGACAGGTGAGGAAGGAGCTGTGAGGAGAAGATGGGGCTGTGCTGCTGGGCTTGTCCAGTGATCAGTTTGTGCAGATTTTGTCCTTTTTTTGCCTTTTTCCCCTTTAAGGTGCTCTGTCACCATGGATTTTTTTGCTTTGGAGCAAAACTTCCTTGTCCCTGGATCCCTGGAATGTCCAAGGCCAGGTTGGACGGGGCTTGGAGCAGCCTGGGATGATGGAAGGTGCCCCATGGCAGGGATGATTTCGGAGGCCCTTTCCAACCCAACTCATTCTAGGATTGTGGGAATGCAGCTGATGGGAACAAAGTGCCCCAGGGACTCATCCCAGCAGAGAAATCCTTTTATTTCCATGTTTTCTCTCAGTTATCACTTACTTGTGTTATGCTGAAAAGCACCGATGGGATTTGTTGGGCTGATCTGACAGGAGAGATTTTACACACAAAACCATGGAACAGGTTCTTAGGGAACATCTCTCCCAAATTCCTATGGAATAAGAGCTGCTCTTTACAAGGGAATTAATCTGCTCCAAGCCTTCAGCTCTTCAGGATGGTAAAAAAAAACTTCTCCCATTGTCAATGGCATATTTTGGGGAATGAGAAGTGAAGGACTGCCTGAGGGATCCCAAAGCATTAATATCCTGCTCAAACAAGATAATTAACTAATTTTGACAGCTTGGATAGCAAAGATCTGTTAACATTTTTTAAAAATAAAATCCATTTTTCATGTGTTGAACTGAGACACCCATGGTCTGTTCCTCTGACCACTGGCAATGGGACTGGGCCCAAAGCTGCCTTGAATTTTGGGCTTTTTTTTGGGACAAAACTGAACTCTCCCCGCTCCCTTTATCCATCTGGAATTGCACCTGGAAGATCCACCGTACATGAGGAACAGCTCTGCCCTAAGAGCAGACAGGGAAGGTTAAATATCCCTTTAATAGGATGGAAATGGTTCCCACCTGCAGGAAAAAAAAACATCCCACGGGCAAACCAAAAATGCAGAATCCACCTGACCCCCAAACCAGATTGTTTTGTTGGGTTTTAAGCAGCACTTTTGAAAGAAAGTACAGCAAATTGCCAAGCACGAACCCATTCTGCAAGGAGACATTTTGAGCTTATATATCTACAGATATCCATATTAAAAAATGGTCTCTTGAACTCTGTTCTTGGAGAAAAGAGAATAAAAATTAAGAAGCTTTCTCATTTAGGGAAAATAAAAAATCTCAGGATGAGCCCAGCTCCTCTGAGGGCTATTAATACCATTCTCCATTTAAATGCTAATGTTCACCTCTAACCCAAAAAAAAAAAAAAAAGTTTTCAAAAGGTGGCCAGGTGAATTCCAAATGAAATCCTGATTTCCCTGAGAATGACTTGATGTCTGCTTCAGAGGAGGTGATGTTTCAGAATAAAGGATCCCACTTTAATTATCCCTTCCTGATGTAGCTGGAGCCTGCTCTGCATCAGAGAGGAATTTGCTGGGTAGGAATTCCAGTTTGGGCGCCCGAATTAGCCAAAGGGAACAAAAAAAAAAAGGAGAAATATAAATTCTGTCCCTTATCTCCCTCTCTTTTGGGGGATTAGAGAGGTGCTTTGGCAGCACCCGGAATTACTGCTGTAACGGGAAAGTCAAAAAGGTTAAGTAGGAAGCACTTATGGAAAATCTGGATAAAAACTAAATGAGGGGAGAGGGAGACAGGGTAGAAGGAAGATTTTATGATGAGGGTGGGGAGGCCCTGGAATAGAATTCCCGGAGAAGCTGTGGCTGTCCCTGGATTCCTGGAAGTGTCCAAGGCCAAGTTGGGAATGTGGAAGTTGTCCCTGCCCATTTCAGGGGGTTGGGATAATATTTAAGGTCCTTTCCAACCCAAATGCTGTGATTTTAAGAAAAAAACACCAGAGAGGACAAGCAAGAAACTGAAGATGATAAAAAAGACCAAAGCTGTGGTTATAAAATCACTTGATTTTGATATTTGAACCATTACATTTAATTATAGAGGGGGATGAGTGAGCGAAAAAAAGAAAAAAAAAAAAAAAGGGAAAAACAGCAAGAAATTGGGTGACTTCAGTCAAGTAATGCAAAATAAATGGATTTTCAGGCCTGGCTGAAAGAAGAAAATCCCATGGGGCACTTTTCCCTTTGGAGTTATAAGAGGTGGGAATGGGGAAGAGCTGAGAATGGTTACAGGGCACTGGATATGGGGCAGGAGTTTGCAAAGACAATTTTGAAAGCTCAGAACACCGAAGGAAAATCCAGGTAAAGCAGCAATTACTGGAATTTCTGCACCTGGTGAAGGCTGCGGGGATGTTTGCACACACACATCAGTGAGCAGCATTTCAAATCCAAAATCTGCAAATACAGGAGCTGCTGGTTCCAGCTCCAGAGCTTCTGGAGATGGAAAACAAGGATGGGAGGTGACAGCTGCATCACGGCTTTTCATGGAATTGCGGATGGGCTGGGTGGGAAGGGACCTTAAAATCATCAAATTCCAACTGGGACACCTTCCCTATCCCACAGGTTGCTCCAACCTGGCCTTGGACACTTCCAGGGATGGATCCAGTTCCTCTTTCCAAGCACTGCTCATCCTAAACTGCAGCTACAGCCCTAAAATAAGGGACACAACCCCCAGGACACCGTTCCACTAGGGAATATAATTCCTGATTGTCTTTTATTCAGATTTCTTCCTTGATTTTCAATCAACCCGGAGCAGTTCTGGGGGAAACAACAACAGGAATGTTCCTTCTACACCTCCAGAAGAACCCAAAGTGCTTTAGGGGAGTTCACATCAGAGATGGTTTTGTTGTTCTGGTCAACCTCAGCTCCTCTCAGACACCACACCAAGACCTGGACACTTCTCCTGCATACCTGGGGTGAGGAATGGCACGGACTACGTGGTTCCTACATGGCTCCATGGACTGAAAAAACCCCAAAATGAGACCAAAAATGTTCCTATCACTGTGATTTCCATCTTCTCTGCGCTCACTTCATCCACAGCCCCTTGGAAGCAGCTGCCCCATCACCACACTTGGCACGATTTGGGGCAGGAGGCACAGGTGGCTCTAGGACTGTGCTACCACAAGAACGTAAAA